GACTTGAATGTACTTAATCGGAACTCGGATGAATTAGTTATAATTTTAGAAGATTAAATGTGTTTTTACTATAAAAAGAAAAGCCTTAATGAGATTTATTGCGCAATAAAGCATCCCGGATAACGTTAGCAAAGGGGGGGGTTTGCTTAAATAGGAGCGGGGGCGGAGAGTCGTGGCCGGGAAACCCCCCGATTTGGCCAGCGACGTGGGGGAGTGGGGAGGAAGAGAGAGGGAGGGATTCGAAACGAATCCCGCCCATTTTAGGGCGTGTGCGAGGGCGGGGAAGCGGGGAGGAGGCGGCGACGTGGGCGCGGGTGCGGAGTGGGGCGCGAGAGGAGCAGCGTGGGGGCGGCGGTTTCGGTGGCAGTGGTGGCGGTTGCCGGAGGTTAGGGACGACCCCGACAGGTGGGGTCCACCTGTCGGCGTCCCAGAGAGAGGAGGGAGGGAGTTTAGACTGGGCCATGGCCACGGGGCTGGCCCAGGGAGGAGGGGAAGATGTGCGCGAGAGGCGGGTGGACTGGGCCGACGGCCCAACAAGAAGAAAAAGGGAGAAAAGAAAAGAAAGGAAAAGGGAAATCGATTTCCATGGAATTAAATAATGCACATGCTCATTTTTAATTGGTTAAAATTATTTTTTGGGCTCTGAAAATTCCACTAAAAATCCTGTTAGAATATTTTGACATGTAGAATCCAAGAAAAGTTCCACATGCCGATTCTAATTATGATTTGCATTTTTTTGATTTAGGGTTTCTCTCTTGCTTTTAATCAAATAATTTCTTGCAACAATTTATTAATTGAATTTTGGCTAGGGTGAAGAACTTCAGGGCGTGACACCTCTTCCCCTCATGCCTCCCTCTCGCCCTCCCCGACGGTAGCGAGGTGTGGTGGAGCTCGAGGGCAGCGAGGGTGGCGCGGCGTCGTGGGCGGGCGCTAGGTAGCAGAGCTCGAGAACAGCGAGGGCGGTGCGGAGATGGGGCAGGGCTCGTGGACTGCGACCCCGGCGCGGCGGCCTGCTCCCGCGTCGCAACCGCCGCCGTTGCCTCGTCGCCCGCCGCCACGTCACCGACCACCGGATCACCTTTCCCACCTCGCCCCGGCGTCCTCCTCCCCAGCCGTCGGCCGGCGTTGCACAGAGAAGAGAAGAGAAGAGTGAGAAAGAGAAGAGGAAGGGATAGGAGGGGGAAGAAAGAGGGTGATAACATGGCATCCTGACATGTGGGTCCCACGCTGTCTCAGCCGCCACGTAGGACAAAATCGGGGTCAAAACCACCGAGGGACCTGGTTTACACTGGTTTTGTAAGTTGGGGGACACCGGATATCTGGTTTTGTAGTTGGGAGATGATTTTGTAACTCAACGACAAGTTGAGGGACCTTCGGTGTACTTTTTCCTAAAGAAGATAGCCAACAGAGTCACAATTTCCATGGAAACCGATTGAATTCCGTGAAAAACCGAGGTTTTGACGTGGCTAGGAAGTAGTAGCCGTCTGGAAATTCGATGGATTTCATCCAAATTCAAAATTGAACTGATAGAAACCAAAAAATTCAAATAAAATCCTACAAAATAGTATGATATTTGCATAACATGTTGGGTTATTTTTTCTTCTTCAAAAACTCGGTGAGTTCCGTGCCTTTCTCGAACTGTACGGTAGGAAAGAAAAAAATAATAATGGTTTAGACAAAAGAAAACCCTTTCCTTGAACTGTACAGGATGAATTTCATGTATTCCATGTCATAGAAGCTACCGTACAATTACAGTATAGCATGTAGTGTTTATTGGACTCTAAACTGTGTATACCGTATACGTAGAGATGGAAAAAACAATCAGGCGATCGGAATCGATCAGAGATGTAAACCATTAAACACGCCTCTCTAGACTCTACATCTAAAATTTATATGGTCACTTAACCTGAAGACTGTTCATAATCAGAATGAACAATTAGATGGACCTCGAGGCCTCGACTAATTAATCAGCCTGACTGTTCATTAATTGTGTTTGGATGCCCCTTTTCCCAACCTCTCTCTCGTTTTCCGCGCGCACGTTTTTTAAATAAACGGTGTGTTTTTTAAAAAAAATTGTATACCAAAATTATTTTAAAAAATAAATTAATCCATTTTAAAAAAAATAGCAAATATTTAATTAATCACGTGCTAATGAGCTGCTCTATTTTACGTGCGTATGCTCCCATCCGGCTGTAGCGAACACACCCAAACCATTTGACAAGGTAAGGCAAGGATTATGCCTTCAGGGGACAAGGATTCTTCAGTATTGTTCAAAAAAAAAAGTTGTAAAAGGAAAAGCAAGGATTCTGACCAGCAACTGTTTACGACCATCTTAACAAACTGGTGTGACACATTACGATTGAATCTTGATTTTTCAAAAATACTTTAAATCCAGGATGAGACGTTTGCAGACTAGCAAATCTCTCTCCTTTATGGGTCGCGTCAAGCAAGCACACGGGTTCTTTTCGCGGAATAAGTTTACTTCATGACCCTCAAAGTCATCGAAATCTAATCCATTACCCTAAACCACAAAACCGAATATCTCGACCCCCAAACTCTTAAAACCGGTGCAATTTGACTCCCTGGGTGGTTTTGGAGGGCGGTTTCGCTGACGTGACGCCTACGTGGCAGTATTAACTCGGTCTTTTTTCCACGTGGCGTTGATGTGGCGCTTAGGTGGCATTAGAAATAAAAAATATGTGTGGGACCCATCTATCATTCATACACAAAATAAAAAATTGTGGGGCCCACTGACATGTGGGCCCTACATCATCCTCTATCTCACTACCCTTCTTCTTCCTCCTCTCTCCGTTGTTTCTCTCTCTCTCCCTTGACATGAGCCGTCGGCAGGAGGGGCTCGAGTGCCGGAGTGGTGGTGGGCGGGTGCCGGAGTGGTGGTGGCGGTGGGCGGTGGATGGTGTACCTCGGACGACGGGCGCGGAAGCAGCTCCTTCTACCGTACCGGGCATTGAGCGACGGACCTCGGGTGACGGTGGGCGGTGGACGGTGGGGAGCATGGGCGGCGGGAGCTGAAGCGGCGGCGGCGACGGCGGTGGGCTGGACCGTCTGGCTGCTGCCCGCCCCCTCCATCTCCTCCTCCTCGTAGTCGTCGCCGCTGACCTCCCCGACCATGCCAAGTACCAGATCGAGACCAGCCGCCCGCCGCCGCCACCGCTCTCGTCTCCGACCTCGTCAGCTGCGGCCACAGCCACCACCCACGGGACGCGTCGCCGCCGCTCCAGGTCAGCATGCGGCAGCACCGTCATGAGCGCGAGTGCGGGAGGAGGCATTGGCAGTGGCGACAACACGAGCTCGGCGGCTCCGCCTTTCCCCTCTCCTTTCCAGCCCTCACGCACCGCCACCGCCTCACATGTCACCCATCACCTCCGTTCCCCCCTTACCTGCTCTCCTCTCCTCTCCTCTCTCCACTTGGCTAGGCCGATGGCGAGGCTGCCGCCACCACCGCCGCTCTGGCCCCCGCTTGCCGCCGCTCCAGCTCCAGCCTCCCGTGCTTCCCTTGGCCGGCCAAAGGGGAGAGGAGAAAGAGAAAGAAAGAGAGAAGAGAGGAAGAAGAAAGGGAAGAGAGAATGACATGTGAGGCCCACATGTCAGTGGGCCTCACAATTTTTTGTGTGTGTGAATGACAGATGGGTCCCACGCATATTTTTTATTTCTAATGCCACCTAAGCGCTACATCAATGCCACGCGGAAATAAGACCGAGTCAATACTGTCACGTAGACGCCACGTCAGCGAAACCGCCCTCCAAAACCGCCCAGGGAGTCAAATTGCACCGGTTTTAAGAGTTTGGTGGTCGAGATATCTGGTTTTGTGGTTTAGGGTCATGGATTAGATTTCGATCACTTTTGAGGGTCATGAAGTGAACTTATTCCTCTATTCGCTCGTGTGCAATGTTCGTTCCGAACAACAGCCCAAGCTTACGTATATGGGCCGTACTACGGAGCCCAAGCAAAGATTCTCGTGGGCTTAATTGGGCTTCTCGGCCGACCACAAGAACCAAATCTTTGCAGAAAAAGTTGGAGCAGCTGCCAACTTTCTCTGGACGAACATGCCATTGCCATCCATGGGAAGACTGATAAATCTCTCTACCCCCGGCTGTAAAGGGTAAGCACTATATATACTATATGACAGGAAGGTGATAAAGCAGGGATGCTAAATTGCTACTAGGATCCTCAAAGTCTTATAGTGGTCGTCATATCATTGGTGGAATGTGCCTTGAATAATTTGGTTACCTAGCAGAGCAAGTTTTTGAGGTCCTATCTTTGAGTAGATTCCCTTGTTTTGGGATCAGGTCACACAACAGGTAGTGCTGGAGGAGCGAAATATGACCTTCTTTTACACTACAAGGGAGGTTGACTCAGCTCATAAACTTAGATCTAATATTAAACATTAAACAATGAAAAGACATCTAACATTAAAAGTACTTCATCTGCGTTAATCCAAGCTGGCATGCTTGTCGCAGAAAGGCCCTTCGACGAGGAGTTTTGACGTTTCCAACGTCAATTGTTGTTATCTTTGGGGTAGGTGGCCTCTATTCTATATTCTCTTCTCTGTACTTACTCCCCGTGCATTCTTTTCTACTATCCTCTAGGACTTCTGCACTTACGAAGGTGAAGCTTGCCCTGTGTAATATCATTTGACGTAATATATTCAAGTGGAAAACTCTCCCAATACAAAACAAACAGTTCTCTAAAAAAATACAAAACAAACATATTATCCAAATATATTTAATTTTATATTTAATAAAATTAATTGGGAGTTATAAATGTTACTATTTTTTCTATAAATTTAATCAAACCTAAAGAAATTTGATTAATAAAAAAGTTGAACAACTTATAGTATCAAATAGATATAGTACCTTGGATGGAGATTTTGGGATGGAGAGGGAGTAACAGAAATCGTCGCATGCAAGGTGGTTTTTCTACGGCATGCAGCACCTAGGCCGCATGCCGTTGGATGGATCCCACGATTGGTGCTGTATGTAAAGTGCTTTGGGCGTATATATTTTGTATATTGTGGTGGACGGTATATACCAGACATTATACATGAGGTAAAGAGAAGACTACTTTACAAGCCGTGGTCCCGCCTCCCCCGCTTTTTTTTTATTTTTCCCCTCCAAATTATTGCCGACCACACATCTCGCCGTTGTGTTCCAGAACACACCATCCGCGGATTCCCCCTTCCTCCCCCGAGCGCCGCCACCACCATCCCCCCACCCTCCTCCCTCCTCCGCCTCGTCGACGCGGCGGCGATGGCGTCCACGCGGCAGCAGAACCTGGGCCCGGATGTTCTACCCCATGCCACTGCCGATGGATGCGCGGCGGCGGTTGATGTTAGGGTGTCCAGCGACATTGCCAGTCAATAAGAACCGGGCACAATCAAGAAGAACCCGGCGGATGATGTTAGGGTGTCCAGCGACGGATCTCATCCTGAGTTGCGACGAACACGAATGCCACAAGCACGAGAGAGAGAGAGAGAGAGAGAGAGAGAGGTGGAGGCGGCGGAGGGGAGGCTGCTGCTGCTGCTGCGGCGGCGGCGCATTTGAATTGGGGTGGGAGGAGGCGGAGGGGAGGCGGCGGCGGCGGCGGTGGAGGGGGATGGTGAAGCTGAGCACGGTGGCGGTGGTGGCGTGGGTGCTGGCGTCGGCGGCGCTCTGGGCGGGGCTGCACTGGCGCTTCCGCCGCCCGGCGCTGCACAAGGCCGAGGAGGCCCTCGTCTGCATTTGCGAGGAGCGCGCCCGCATGCTGCAGGACCAGTTCGCCGTCTCCGTCAACCACGTCCACGCCCTCGCCATCCTCGTCGTGACCTTCCACTACGACAAGCACCCTCCCGCGCTCGACCAGGTCGGTCCGACGAGCTTCCGCCGCGATGATGATGATGTTGCATCTGTTGTTTTTTTTTTTGCCCCCCGCAGTTAATTGCGATAATGCCTCGATTTTTACTCGACATCTTGGCCGTGTACTTTGCTCTGCTGCTTTCGGCTTCATTTAATTCTACAGTGACCTTCCATGTCAGCCATGGCCATGGATTACTGCTCCGGTCCCTTGTTATTAAATGGAGCGCACTTTTTGTTGGGACTGGGAGGAAGTGAATTGATTGTGCTTGCTTGCTTCTGTTGGTAGTACTAGTGATTTCTTCGGCTGTGTGGCTGAATCTTCTTCGTTGTGTTGTGCGTGTGTGCAGGACACGTTCGCCGTGTACGTCGCGAGGACGTCCTTCGAGCGGCCGCTGCTGAGCGGCGTGGCGTACGCGCAGCGGGTGGTGCACGCCGACAGAGAGAGCTTCGAGCGGCAGCAAGGGTGGATCATCAAGACCATGAAGCACGAGCCGTCCCCAGCGCAGGACGAGTACGCCCCGGTGATCTACTCCCAGCCTCCCAGGAGACCATCTCCTACATCGAGGAAGAGGAGAGGAGAGTCCTAAGTCCATGTCAACATTTCATATCTCAGGAAGAGTTTGAAGCAAATGAGGAAACAGGGAGGCTGATCTGTGGCCACAGCTATCATGTGCAATGCATAAAGCAGTGGCTTTCTAGGAAGAACACCTGCCCTGTCTGCAAAACTGTTGTCTCAAAGACATGAAATCCAATCAGTCCCTAAGCACACTTGAACTGAAAAGTGTGAAAAGGACTTGCTCTTTCACAGTGTTGTTTGTGATTGTACAGCTCTGTTTGTACATGATGCTTTGTGTAAGCACAAGCCTGAAGCAAACCATCTCATTTGCATATAGCAGTTTACATGTTTTCAGTTTTCCCAGTGTCTACTGAGTGTTAAGCATTTGCTTGTAGAAACTTACATGTTTTCAGTTTTCCCAGTGTCTACTGAATATTAATTCAGGTGAAAGAAAAAAAATAAGAAGAGAACAGTTTTTTTCACTAATCTCAGTCGGTTTTCATGTCTGTTGGATTCGTTCGCATGCAAAGGCAACCGTATCCACCCGATCTTCCGGTTGGTTTTATATACTGAATTGCTATATCTTAATCGACAGTTTTCTTGCAACGAATATGTCACTTTTCATATTTTATAAAAATTTACACGGTAGTTACACACCACTTAGATATGTAATTAGTATGTAATTTTAGGACTTACATATGTAATTTTGAGACTTACATTGTAAATACACTAAAATTACATATGTAATTTAAGGACTTACAATGTACTTACAATGTAAAAACATACCGACTATTTTTTGGTGAAAAATATGGCGCCATAAATATAGCTACTCCCATTTTTTTTGTTTGAAATTATATTGCCTTTTTCTGAATCTCAATTCTGACCCCTGCATTTCCCAGCGAGAAGCTTCAGACAGTTCAGTGTCAGGACTCTCCTCTTCCTCTTGACGTTGGACGACGGCGCCCTCGGCTTCGACGAGGATGACATCCTCCGTGACTTTTCCATTCTCGTCGTCGCCGCCGAGCCGCTCCCTCTCGCCTCCACCGGCCTCCTCGGCGTGTTCGTCACCTCTGCATCGGCGGCGCTCGCTTCTCCGAGCTCCCTCTCGATCGCCTCGGCCCGCATTGCGATCTCCTCGCTGGTTCGCCGCGCTTCCGTCCACGCCTCCGCCGCCGCCGCCTTCATCTCGGCCACCGCGTGGACCACCTCGGCGCGCCCCGTCAGGTACTCGTACTCGAACCTGGGGATCGTGAATTCGTGACGTTCCTGGACGACGAGCTCCGCGACGTCGCGGCCGCGGCGGTGGCCAGCGTCGCGCTCTCGACGATGGCCTTCAGCCTCGCCGTCGCCGCGGCCTCCGACGCCCTCGCCGCCCCGAGCTCCCTCACCGACTCTCTGATCCTCTGCTCCGCCGCGGCGATCTCGGCGTCGATGTTCTCCGCGTCGGACATGGCGCGCCGGTTCTCCGTCTCCGTCAGCGTCTTCTCCTTCTCCGCCGCCTCGGCGTCATCCTCCAGCTGCCGAAGGATCGCCGCCAGCTTGGAGATGGTCTCGTCGGCCCTCTCGTCGGCCGCCGTGACGGCTTCCAGGCGAGACCTCGCCTTGAGCAGCTTGGCGTTCAGCTACTTCACCTGCGCGCTCGCCGCCTTCTCCTGCTCCGTGAGGCGGGGGATCTCGTCGGTGACCCGCGCCGTCTCCCTGCGCGTTCGCTCGATGGACGTCGTGAATCGGAGGCCCTCTTCCTTGATGGACTCCAGCACGATCCTCGCCGAGCTCAGCTCCGCCTCCGCCGCCTGCAGCGATGACTCTTCGTGTTCCTGCTCGTGTCTCCTCGACGCCATTGCAGTGGCAGTGTGGCACCCGTTGCTCCCACCACTGCCAGGACGCCGTGCTCCTCGCTTGCTCCGTCCGCATCTCGCTCCACGCCGCCGCCGCCGTCGCCGCGCGGGCCGGAGCTCACCGGAACATTCTTCGGCCGGAGACTCGTCAAGCCTGGACGGAGCGCTGGACCGCTGGTTCGGTCGACGGGGGATGCAGTCGGCGGGCGGCGGGCTGCTTTAAGGAAGATGCAGGACGCGTGTGCCGGGGAGGGGGGCGCGCAGGCGCGGTGGCGGCGCCGGCGGGCGACTGGCAATCGGCGGCGGTGGCCGGAGATTAGGTCACGGAGGTCGGAAGCTATCGAGACGATGGAGAGGGATGGAAGATATGGAATGTATCGAACATATATGTGTGGTCGAGAAAAAAAGTGAGTAGTCGTACTCCGTAGTCCGTACAAAAAGCATCTTACGGTGGGGTCAGGTGTATTTTGGATGCACGCGCAAAATAAAAATACGACGCTACCTGTACATGATATGTAAAGGTGTGCACGAATCTTAGAGCAAGTTCAATAGTATAGCCAACTACTAGCTCTAATTTATCTATAGCCAATCTAATAGCTCATTCATACAATAGTTACATACTACACTATTAATATATGGTCCCACCTGTCATACACACACTGTAGGAGTCCGTGCTACAGCTGGCTACCAATCTGTAGCCTGCTGCACTTCTCTCTGCTCGTTTATCTTTTTAAAATATATTTACAGCTAGCTTATAGCCCGCTATTATAGCTATCGTGCGGATGCTAGCCAGGTGCCGCAGCACCTAGGTGCTAAAAGGACGTTCCGCCATGATGTTTAGATTCCCTGTGACCAATCGCGTAGGTAAGCATGACCAAACTAGTTGGCCCTCCAACAAGCCAACAACTACTCCTGCGCACGTTTTTTTGTCTGATGCTGCAGTTTTATAGTACTATGAATACAGTCTGATGAGTGATGACATTGACACCCACCTGCTGCAGTTTTATATTGAATTCGGACAGCAGTCACCACTCCCTCAGTCCCTCGTCGCGTTTCGTCGGAGACAATGGCGACGCCAGCACCTGATGTCTCGGCCATCGGCGCGGCCCTCCGATCCCCGGCGGCGACGGTAAGCGAGGCCGACGTCGAGAAGCTCCGGCTCATCGAAGAACTGACCTCCGACGTGGACGCCGTGCAGGAGCGCGTCCTCTCGGAGATCCTCGGCCGCAACGCCGGCGCGGAGTACCTCACCAGGTGCGGCCACGACGCCGGCGACACCGGCCGCGCCACCTTCCGGGCCAAGGTGCCGGTGGTGTCGTACGACGACCTGAAGCCGTACATCCAGCGCGTCGCCGACGGGGACTGCTCGCCCGTCCTATCGACGCACCCCATCACCGAGTTCCTCACCAGCTCCGGCACGTCGGCCGGCGAGTGCAAGCTGATACTCGTCGCCATGGACGACTCCGGCCGCCGCCAGGCACTGCACGGTCTCATTGGACCTGTCTTGAAACTGTAAGTCAACCTCTTCTACATGGCACTTCGCCAGTCCGAAGAAAAGTGATATCGAACATTTCGCAATGTATATATAGATATGTCCCTGGGCTTGAAAAGGGTAAGGGGCTCTACTTCATGTTCGTCAAGTCAGAGACGAAGACACGAGGCGGCCTCACGGCGTGGTTTGCCCTGACGAGCGTCTACAAAAGCGAGCAATTCAAGAGCATGGCAATTGCCTACACGAGCCCCACGGCGGCCATCCTCTGCGAGGACGCGTTCCAGAGCATGTACGCGCAGATGGTGTGCGGCCTGTGCCAGCGCCACGACGTGGTGCGCTTCGGAGCTGTGTTCGCGGCCGCACTTGTTCGGGCGATCCGCTTCCTCCAGCTCAACTGGGGCCAGCTCGCCGCGGACATCGAGGCCGGCGAGCTCGGCCCACACGTTGCCGATCCGTCGGTGCGCGAGGCCGTCTCCGGGATCCTCCGGTCGGACGCCGAGCTCGCGGAGTTCGTCCGCATCGAGTGCTCCAAGGGTGACTGGGCCGGCATCATCACGCGTATTTGGCCGAACACCAAGTACGTGGATGCCATCGTCACCGGCGCCATGGCACAATACATCCGGACCCTGCAGTACTACAGTGGCGGCCTGCCGATCGTGAGCACCTCGTATGCGTCCTCCGAGTGTTTCTTCGGCATCAACCTCCGCCCCGTGTGCGACCCGTCCGAGGTGTCCTACACCATCATGCCCAACACGGCCTACTTCGAGTTCCTCCCGGTCGGCGAGGTCGTCGACGCGACCAACCTCGTCGACCTCGCCCGCGTGGAGGTCGGGCGGGAGTACGAGGTGGTGATCACCACCTACGCCGGTCTGAGCCGGTACCGCGTCGGCGACGTCCTCCGCGTGACGGGGTTCCACAACGCGGCACCGCAGTTCCGGTTCGTGCGCCGCCAAAGCGTGCTGCTATCCGTCGAGTTAGACAAGACCGACGAGGCCGAGCTGCACCGCGCGGTGGAGCGCGCCTCCTCGGCGCTCCTCCGCCCGCGCGGCGTGTCCGTCGCGGAGTACACCAGCCGCGCGTGCACCGAACGCATCCCGGGACATTATGTGGTCTACTGGGAGCTACTGACCGAGTCACCCGTCGGCGCCGGCGACGGTGACACGGTGGACGGGGAGACGCTCGGCAGGTGCTGCCTCGAGATGGAGGAGGCACTCAGCGCGGTGTACAGGCAGGGCAGGGTTGCGGACGGCTCGATCGGGCCACTCGAGATCCGGATCGTCCGTCCCGGCACGTTCGAGGAGGTCATGGACTTGGCCGTCTCCCGCGGCACGTCCATTGGGCAGTACAAGGTGCCCCAGTGCGTGACTGTCCCATCCGTGGTGGAGCTGCTGGACTCGCGCGTCGTGTCTAGCCAATTCAGCCCTGCCCTGCCGCATTGGATCCCGACTCCACGATCCGACTAGCAATGCATCCTGTTTGGCATCTTTATTTTAGGAAAGGAAAACGTACACCGAAGGTCCCTCAACTTGTCATCCAATCACAAAATTATCCTTGAATCGCAAACCAGATACAACACGTCCCCCAACTTATAAAACCAATGCAAACTAAGTCCTTGGCGGTTTTGACTCTGGTTTTGTCCGACGTGGCAGCTGACTCAGCGTGGGACCCATATGGGTCCCACATGTCAGCCTCTTCTTCCCCTCCTCTCTCTTCTCTTCCTCTCTCATCCCTTTCCACGGCGACGGTGATGGAGAGCAGCGATCTGGGAGTAGACGACGTTCGGTGGGGGAGGAGCTGGGCCCGACCGGCGACCGGCGGGGAAAGAGCGGGGCACGGCCGGTGAGGGCGGAGATGGGCGCGGCCGGCAGCCGACGGGGAGGAGCTGGAGGCGGCGGTGGGGACGCCGCGGCGACGGCAGCGGTGGAGGCGGGGGCGGCGGCGGAGGCAGGGGCGGGGGCGCCGCGGCGGCGGCGCGGGAGCGCAAGGCCGGGAGCTAGGTTCCGCAGGGCGGGGAGGACGACAAGGTGGTTTGGCGGCGAGGCGGGGGAGAGCAAGGAGAGGACGTCGATGGTGGTGGCCCCGGCCGCGACGGCCGTGGCATCGACGCCGCTCTCCCTCATCCACGCGAACGCCCCTGCAGCGCTCTGGAACGAGCCGCACGCGGTCTTGATCCCGACGTCGGTGGCCCGGTCCACGGCGAGCGCGATCTGGGCATAGGCAAGGAGCACGTCCCACCTCTGCTCGAGGGAGGGGTCCGGGAGCGACGGCTGCTTGACGGAGCTCGACACGGTGGGGCACGCGCGGCATCCCAACGTATGCGCGCTCCTCGGCTGTTGCGTCGACCGCGACCTCTACCTCGTCTTCATCTTCTCTGGCCGCGGCTCCGTCTCCGCCAACCTCCACGATCAGTACACCACCACCACCACCCAATGACACAAACGTAACACCAAACAGTAACAGCACGAACACGCCGCCATTAATGGCGTTTGACGTTTTCTTGATCGATTTTGCCCCGATGTGTATGTTGCATTGCAGACGAGAAGGCGCCGGCGATGTGGTGGGCGGTGGGGTGGATTGCTTCGGCGCGTCGGGGCGGGGGATGTCGTGTTGAGATCCGCCGTCGCCTCGTCGCCCGTCGCCGGCCGCCGAACTCTCGCCTCCCCCACCGGCTTGCTGTCCTGCCCACTGCCGAACTGAGGAGAGGGAGAGAAAAGAGGAGAGAGAGAGGAAGAGAGGGGATGGGAAGAAGGGGCTGACATGTGGGACCCACAACTGAGTCAGCTGCCACATCCGATAAAACCGGAGTCAAAACCGCCGGGGGACCGCCGGGGGATCTAGTTTGCACTGGTTTTGTAAGTTGGGGGACGTGTTGTATCCGGTTTTGCGGTTTAAGGACGATTTTGTAATTCGATGACAAGTTGAGGGACCTTCGGTTTACTTTTCCTTTAGGAAAAGGCACGGCCCAAGATAAGTCGAGCCGGCACAGTCCGATCGCCACGGTGTGTCGTATCTGTCCACGGGCTGCACCTACAGCCCAGGGATGACCTAATAGGACTCGGGCCGTGCTGTACCAGTCCGAAGGCACGGCTTACCCACCGCGCTCATTCTCGAAATAAATCTATTTTGCCTCCCCTATCTATTTGGGTCGTGTCTTATATGGTTAAAATAAGTTTATTTTGCCTCCCTCAGCTCTTCGGGCTTGCTGTCGACGGGCTACTTCCTGAGGGAGTGGGGGATGTTGGGTCACAGTTGTGCTGATCGTTGGGTTGTGCCATGCTAGGTTGGCACGCCGTGCCAAGGAAGAGACCTAGGCACGGTCCAACTGTTGGGTCGGGCTGGCAGGGCTCGACAACAGTCGGGGCGTGCCGTGTCTGAGTCAGACCAAACCTTAGTGTTGTGGGCCAGATCATCGGGCTACAGGCCTTCTGGCCTTTACTGCTGCAGTTTTATGGAGTCTAAATAAAGTCTGATGGGTGTCAATGTCATCACTCATCAGATTTTATTGGATAAGTTTACCTTTGGTCCCTCAATTTGTCGTCGAGTCTGAAATTCATCCTTGAACCGAAATACCATATATAACTTATCCTTCAACTCGCAATACTGTATCAACTTTAGTCCCTTGGCAGTATTGTGGCCGGTATTGGCTGATGTGGCGAGTGAAACTCACGTGGCCCCACATGTCAGCGGCTCAACTCTTCTACCTCTCCCTCTTCCCCCCTCTCTCTCCATCTCTCGCATCGAACGACGGCGAGTCCGGGCCAGGGATGGCGCGCTACCGTGTGGATGGCGACGGCGGCACGGTAGTGAGAGCGGTGTCGGCACCCGCTCATGCCGCACCACCTCGACCAGCTTCGCCAGGACATCACCTTTCTCATGACGAGCAGATTTGAGTTATTGATCTTTTTTTCTTCCTTCTGGTTCTCCTTTGCTGTTTGCCATTGAGAGCAAAGCTGAGTTCTTGATGTCCCTACTTCTAGTTCTCTTCACGATCTGTGTTCTTATGCCTTAATGCCTTTATGTCGGGGGAATGTACGGTGGTGAAAAACTGAAAAAAAAACACAGCACCATCTATAGATTTTAGGGGGCCTGTGATGATATATGCCTGGAACAAAAATACTCACTTTCTGGACTGATTTGGCTTTGCTTCACCAAAACTAGGAGCTTTGCTTCTTCTCTGAAAGCGTGTATGTTGTGGACTCGTCCTGCCGTCGCACCGCCACTGCCTTTTGGAGGATGAGCTCGTGGTGACATTCATTTTGTTTTGTTGGATTTGCTGTGCGTTCATGCAGGCGACCACTCGACAAGTCGACATCGACTGCATACACGGCACCACCACCAGCAAGAGGGCCGCGGGGAAGGACAAGGCCGCCATGCAGGAGTGTCATGCGTCGCCACCTCCAGCAAATTACTTCAAGAATAAGGCCGACTACAATGCTGCTGCAGCATCCGCATCCGCGGGCGCCATCAACTACAAGTGACGATCTACAAGCCCGGGAGCGGCGGCGCTGAGACGGGCTCCGACTCCGACCTCACCGAAGATGACAACGCCTGTTGGGAATCTCTCCTCTCTGAATGTTTAAGTACTAATCACTAGCACTAACATAAACACTTGTATTTACTCGGTGGACACAAACACACAAGAACTGAACAACGCACAGCTTTGGTCAAGGCAACCACACACCGGCTCACTTCGTTTTCTTTTTCTTTTATAGACTCACACAGTACATGCAGATAACAGCCAGCCAATTCTCATGACCGGGACTCACGCTATGCACACAAACGTGCAGATGCCATGCAACTAACTAACTAACTAATCCTACTTATTCTCCTGCGAAGAAGTCACTTCGCGGCTGCTTATCCGGGATGCTGATCCTCATGCATAGCTAGCTCCTAACTAATCTCATACGTGCATGTATGCATGCATATGCTAGGACCGATTCACTCGGCTAATACTGACCTTGCGTTGCTTGCAATCCGGCTACTTCTCTCAGCACTCCACATGCAGTTGAGCCTGGTCTTCATGAATGTTGTTTGCTCCACTCTCGCGCCACCGCATCGCACGGCACGTCGGCATCTCGCCCATGAGATGGAAACAAACTAACTATGCAGCGTCCATGTACCTCACGTACATAGCTTCTAGCATGTGACCTATACAAACCACTTACTACATGCATATGACCAAACAAAAAACATACTTTTACACTAATGACAAGATTATTGCTAACAACGCCATGCTCACCCCGGGCCCCCGGCCATGGTGGACCTCCCCGACGACGTCCTCTCTCCCTGAGGCGACGGCACCGATGGAGTGAGCTGGAAAGGTGGTGGAGGCGATGTGTGCGTCGGCGGAGCGACGCGTGAAGCGAGGAGCGCGTGCATTGCGGCGGAGGTTTGCTGTTCATGAGAGATGGGGAAGAAAGGAAAAATGGAGAGAAGATTTGGTCGCTGACATGTGGATCCACATGGGTTCTACTCGCTACGTCTACCGAAACCGGCCATCATATGATCGAGGGATGAAAGTTGACATAGTATTGTAATTTGGGGATGGACCATATTGGTGGACCTAAATTGAACTTATTCCGACTTTATTCATACTCCATAAAACTGCAGCTGTAGTTGGCCAGAAAGCCCGTAGCCCAATGGTCTAGCCCACAGCACAGAGATTTGATCCGATCAGACATGGCACAACTCGACTGTGCTAGCCCGACCCGACTGTTGGACCGTGCCTGGGCGGCTGGGCCTCTTCCTTGGCACAGCGTGCCGATCCGGCACGGCATGACCCAACAATCAGCACAACCGTGACCCGACATCCCCCGCTTCCTCAGGCGGTAGTCCGTTGACAGCGGGCCCGAAGAGATGAGGGAGGCATAATAGACTTATTTCAGCCATACAAGGCACGGCCCAAAGAGATAAGGGAGGCAAAATAGATTTATTTCGAGGATGAACACGGTGGGCTGGTCGTGCCTTCAGATCGGCACAGCACAACCCGAGTCTTATTATGTCGTGCCTAGGCGTAGGTGCAGCCCGTGGACGGACACGGCATGACACAACACGGTGTGTCGGTCAGACTGTGCCGGGCCGACGGATGTTGCACTAGTGGAGAACCCATTTTTACTACTGGTTGGTAACTCTCTTTAGTCCTGGTTTTCCAACTGGGAGTAGAAATCCGGGACTAAAGATGAACTTTTTTAGTTCTGGTTGGTGTTACCAACCGGGAGTAAAGAGAGAATAGCAGCAGTATCAGATGGTCCCTTTTTCTTTTCTTTTTTCCTTTTTATTTTCTCCCGAATCAAGTGACATGCAAATCCCCAAATCCCCAAATCAAAGTAACATCCCAAATTCACATCACAAAATCCACATCACAAATCTTAAAGTTACTTATACACACAAATCAAATACATCACAAATCCTAAATAATTATACACAAATCAAATATATCACAAATCCATAAAATAAATCACAAATTTATACATCTCAGTGTATCACAAATTAAAAAAAAACAAAGCCGCTACCGCCCCTCGTCACGGCCGCCGCCTGCGGCCCCGCCGGCCGCCGGCCCACCGGATGGGAAGGGGAGGAGGAAGAGGAGAGGAGGAAGGGGAGGAGGTGGAGGAGAGGGGATGAGGAAGAGAGGATAGATCTGATCTGTAGGAGAGGAGAGGGGGAGAGATTTGATCTGTGTGAGTTGCGATTGTGGAGGAGAGGATAAGTGATAGGGATTATATACTACGCGTTCAATTTTAGTGCCGGTTAGTAATAGGACTAAAGATCCAGATGATCTTTAGTGGGACTAAAGTGGTGATCTTTAGTCCCGGTTGGTGACACCAACCGGGACTAAAGATCCTCGGCCCCCTGACATACATCTGACAGGGGATGAACCTGGACTAAAGATGATCTTTAGTACCGGTTGGTAATAACAACCGGAACTAAAGATGATAGAATCCCGGTAGGGTTTTTAACCGGGACTAAAGATCATTTTTAGTTCCGGTTCTTTTTGGAACCGGGACTATTGTGGTTTTGGGTCGACTCAGCAAAGATCATTTCTCCACTAGTGTTGGGCCGTGCTTTTTCCCAAAGGGGATAATATTAAACTACTAGGCGGCGCCTGGTAGTATTTCTGCTAAAAAAAACACCAGTAGTGACAACCCGGACAAGCCAAATTAAATCAACACATATACCCTATTAAAAAACGGTTTTGCTATTTCACTTGCGATAGATTTTTGGGCTTCTACCTTTCGATTTTTGACCGTAGGATCTTGTGTCAAGATTCATGTTCCTTTAAATTCAACTTGCAGTTACACTTAGTTACATAACATTTACACTTACTTACATAGCACATTCAATTACAGTGCATCAAAATTTAATTTTTACAACAACTTTTTTTCGTTAGATTTATGATTTCTGACATGCTTGTTCTTGTTTTGTTAATTCACTAAAAAGAGTTATTACAAATTCCGCAAGATTTGAAGTTACAGATCTATCGAAAGATAAATAGGTAGTTCCTTTTTTTCCAAAATTAAGATGCTAAACAGGATGCATTGCTAGTCGGATCGAGGACATCTTCGGGTCATGGAGCCAGGGTCCAGTGTGGCAGGGCGGGGCTGAAGTGTCCCGGGACGCGTTCGGTGCACGCGCGGCTGGTGTACTCCACGATGGACGCGCCGCGCGGGCGGAGGAGCGCCGAGGAGGCGCGCTCCACCGCGCGCTGCAGCTCGGCCTCGTCGGTCTTGTCTGCCTCGATGGATAGCAGCACGCTTTGGCGGCGCACGAACCGGAACTGCGGCGCCGCGTTGTGGAACCCCGTCACGCAGAGGACGTCACCGACGCGGTATCGGTTCAGCCCAGCGTAGGTGGTGACCACCACCTCGTACTCCCTCCCGTCCTCCACGCGGGCGAGTTCCACGAGGTTGCTCGCGTCGACGGCCTCGCCGACGGGGAGGAACTCGAAGTAGGCCGTGTTGGGCATGATGGTGTAGGACACCTCGGACGGGCCGCACAAGGGACGGAGGTTGAGGCCGAAGAAGCACTCGGAGGAAGCATACATGCCGCTCACAATCGGCAGGCCGCCGCTGTAATACTGCAGGGTCGGGATGTACTGTGCCATCACGCCGGTGACGACGACATTCAGACACTTGGTTTTTGGCCAAAGGCGCGTGACAATGCCGGTCCAGTCGCCCCTGGAGCACTCTCGGTCCTGATGAACTCGGCAAGCTCAGCGTCCGGCCGGAGGATAACGGCGACAGCCTCGCGCACAGACGGGTCGGTGACGCGGGGGTTGAGCTCTCCGGTCTCGATGTCCGCCGCGAGCTGAGCCCAGTTGAGCTGGAGGAAGCGGATAGCCCGGACGAGCGCAGCGGCGAACACGGCGCCTACGCGCAGCACGTCGTGGCGCTGGCACAGGCCGCACAACATCTGCGCGTACATGCTCTGTGACGCGTCCTCGCAGAGGATGGCCGCCATTGGGCTCGTGTAGGCGTAGGCCCTCTTGAAGTGTTCGCTTTTGTATACGCTCGTCAAGGCGGGCTGCGCCGTGAGGCCGCCTGGTGTTTTCGTCTCCGATCTGGCGAACAGAAAGTAGAGCCCCTTCCCCGTGTGAAGCCCAGGCACGTACCTATGAAATGAGTGCACCATTAACTACCAAAAGTACTTCTAGGAGGGACATGGAAACGGTGAAAGATCTACAAGAATTGATAATAGAGAGTACAACAATATCTACCACTATACCACAAATTAAATTCAAAAATCGATCTACACATTAATAAATAGAAAAGAAAATTTTGGATATGCTCGGGACGCAACTCAGCATCGGACGCCTGATGGGAGGGGGAAAAATCGGGTGCCGACGTCAGCATGACGCATGCGTGCAAAACCACTTTAAACTATTTTTTCTCTTAAATTATTTATTCAAATCATGATCCGATTGCACTATTAAATTCGTTGCATTTAAATCTTTAAAACAAGACCACACATGGATATATTCTAACAATTGTTTTTTGCTTATTATTGAACTATTTTTAAATATTGCACGCTGTTCCACCAATTATATCAGAATTGTTTCCTAAGTAGATCAAAAATGTTTCAATCGTTTAAATCGGGCGTTGTTTCACCTTATATAAAAATAATATTTCAGCAAATAGCGAAAGAATGTTTCAGTGCACTGCAACATTTGATCCATACATAGTGAAACATTATAAGTACACTAGGTAAAATATTTTTGGTAGAACAAAAAATGAAACGAATTCCCTTAATAGAGGGTTTCCATAATATGTGGGTGATTTGTTGCAAAAAAAATTTTTAATTCACTGCAACATTAGATCTATACATACATAGTGAAACATTTTTGGTGGAACAAAAAATGAAACGAATTCCCTTAATAGAGAGTTTCTAAAATATGTGGCTAATTTTGTTGCAATGACATGCGTGATGGGACACGTGGCGGGAGCTGCGGGGGGACACGTGGAGAGAAGGCGTGTGCGGAGGAGGCGCCCGTGGGGGGGGGGGGCGATTTTCTCCCCCCGATCCGGGGCATTGTCCATATGCTTGATATGTCTTTTTTATTTCTCAAACGTAAGGGTTGAAAGTTGATTTTTTAGGAAGAGTATATACATATTGTATGAACATTATCAAATTATTTTACAGGGTTTTATAATTAACTATATAGATGGTATCAGAACATATGAGGGGATAATGGGACATTATCCCGAAAGATTAAAAGAGTTTTCCCTTCTCCGAGTGTGTGCTATAATTTTTTTAAACTATTGTTTTTGGAACTACCTATATATTTCTCGATAAATTTTCTCTTAAAAAATTAACAGATATAACTATAATATAATTATTGTGTAATTATATCGTAACATGTATATAACTTGTACGCACCTTTCAAACATTCTATGATAACTAGTTGGGCGGCCTGCACAATTACGTGGCTAGCATCAATTTAATATTATCTATTTTTTACACATGATTTTATTTAAAATTATCATTCCCGTGATTCTAATAATTTTATAGTTTTTAAAAGCCACGACAGTCGCTACCCCTTACTCCTTTGGCACCTATTTATTTACTTACTTGATCTACCACTACTTCTATTCGTCCTCTTTAGAACTTTAAAAATTAGGCCCTATAGTTTTTAAAGTTCATTGTCTTGTTGGGTTTCGTTTTCATAGTTTTTAGAAGTATCATCAAACATAGCCAATTTACTACTCTGTGGCCAGTCCACTGCCACCTCTCTTTATTGTCATTGTGATTTTAAAAATCAAAAATAATTATTGTCTATTTCCTTTTTTACTTTCTATAAGTCTCGCCAAATCGTTAGTGGCTTCGCCGCTATACTCCTCTACAGCCCACCCGCTGCCTCTCCTCCTTATTGTTATTGAGATTTTAAAAATAGAAAATGATTATCATTGGGGTTTATTTTTACTCTCCATAAGTCCCGCAATCGTCGTGGCCATGCATGCTGCTTAACGGCATGCCCATTTTCACTCCTCTTAATTGTCATTGGGATTCTATTTGAGATCATTTTGTATAGTTTTTAGATATCCCATCAACCACTAGCACTCTACTCCTTTACATGCCTATTACTTCTCCCCTCTTTATTGTCACTTGTCATCGTTGTGTTCTATAAGGACCTTTTTTTTAAAGAAATTGGATATTTTTCATCCTTGAACACTTATAATTATTTTTCTATTTTTCAAATTTATTTTATTTGTTATTTCGAACTTTAATTAATTTTGTCATGTGCTCTAGATTGTCTCTTATTTCAATACTTATTATTTTTTATTACAAATTTTAGTTATTTATAAATTGTATTCTAGTTGAGCTCTTATTTTCTTTTTCTATTTTCTGAATTTATTTTATTTTTATTTTGAATGTTAATTAATCTCGTATTGTGTTATATATAGATTATTCTTTTAATATTTTTTTATTATTTCCAATTTTAATTGTTTCAAAATTGTATATTCCTACTTGAACTCACTTTTTTATTTTTTTTTTATGATTTTGGATTTTATTTGATTTTTTTTATTAATCTCGTATTAATATCTTATACGGACTCTTCTTTCAATATTGCTTATTTTTAATTTCGAATTTTTGTTATTTTTAAATTGTATTTCTACGTTAACTTTTCTTTTATTTTTTTTATAATTTCATATTTTATTTTATTTTTATTCTGAATTTTAATTAATCTCGTATTTGATTCTTATATGGACTCTTATTTTAATATTCTTTATTTTTAATTCTGAATTTCAGTTATTTTTAAATTGTATTTCTACTTGGACTCTTTTTTTTCTAGTTTCAGATTTTATTTTATTTTTATTCTGAATTTTGATTAATCTTGTATTGGGTTCTTATATGAACTCTTCTTTCAATATTGCCTATTTTTAATTCCAGATTTTAGCTATTTTTAAATTGTATTTCTACATGGACTCTTCTTTTCTTTTTCTCCTATTAATGTGGGAATTTCTAACCCTCACAGCGAACGTGGTGCCTACTTTCAAATATGTTTTAATAATATAGTAGATAGATAGATATGATATTTTCGTGAAACGGAGGTTGTGGGATCGAATCCCCTCACGTATATATCAGCACACGAATTGTGAAGCAAATCTAACGATTCTAAATTACATACATGTTACATAGTAATTATATATAAATTACACTACGACTATATTGTATTTACCTTTAACAATTTTTTTTTAAAAATAATTTATCATCAAATATATAGCAACCGATAATAAAAAAATGTTTTTATGTAATAATTCAAACTTTCAATTGACGGCGGTTAACTTACACGTTCAAGACAGATGTAGCGAGACTGCTCAGCACCTCGCGGCGGGCCATCTCATCCGTGACGATGGGCATCAGCTTGCGCTCGCCGGCCGAAGTGCCGGAGCTTGTGAAGAACTCGATGATGGGGTGCGTTGACAAGATGGGCGAACGGTCCCCGTTGGCAATGCGCTTGACGTACGGCTTCAGGTCGTCGTACGACGCCACCGGCACCTTGGCCCGGAAGGTGGCGCGGTCGGTGTCGCTGGCGTCGAGGCCGCACTTGTCGAGGTACTCCGCATCGGCGTTGCGGCCGAGGATCTCCGCCAGGACACGCTCCTGCACGGCGTCCACGTTGGAGGTCAGCTCCTCGATGAGCCGGAGATTCTCGACGTCGGGCTCCTTCGCCGCCGCCATGAGCGACGACGACAGGCTCCGCGAGGCCGCGCCGATGGTCGAGATGCCTTTCGCTGCCATTGGCAGACTGGCTCCACCGAAACAATTACTACGAGGGAGTGGTTGCTAGATCGAGCTCGTAGCGTGCAAGGGACAGGAAATGATGTGTGTTTATGTTGGGTGGCGTATTTATGCTTACGTACTACTAGTAATTCACAATGTAAGTTATTCTATTATTTTTCACATTTATATTGATTTTAATGAATCTAAATAAATATATATGTCTAGATTTATTAACATCAATATAAATGTGGAAAATGTTAGAATGACTCACATTGTGAAACGGAGGGAGTACAAAATTGCAGCTCACGCCTCAAGGGCTTCCATAAGACGGTACGATGTAACATTTTATATGACAACATGTGCAAAGGGTAGTCATGATACTCATAGAAGCTACAAAACGTTGACAAAATGACGTTAATTAATATAAGTAGTTGATATGCTAGTACTTCTTCCGCCCTAAAATATAAGAATCTAGAAATAGATAAGACATTTCCTACTATTATGAATTTGAACAGATTCATAATACTATTAAAAATATCTCATCTGTTACTAGGTTTTTATATTTTACTTTATTTCATGTTATGAGACGTTTTGACTTCTGTTTTAAGTTTGACCAAGTTTATAGGAAAAAGTAGTTACATTTTTAACTCAAGACAAATTTATTATGAAAATATATTTAATTATTAATTTGATGAAACTAATTTAGTATTATAAATATTATTGCATCTGTCTATAAACTTAGTTAAACTTAAAACAGTTTGACTTTAATCAGAGTCTTACAACCTGAAACGGAGTAACGGAGTTAGTAGGATGGATGGAGTACTAAACAAGCTCAAGTGCCCATAGATCAGATGTTTTTTTTTCTAGGGGCAGTGATCTAAGGGTGTGTTCAGTTCACACTAAAATTATAAGTTTGGTTGCAATTGGAACGATGTGATGGAAGAGTTAGAAATTTGTGTGTAGGAAAGTTTTGATGTGATAAAAAAGTTGAAAGTTTTAAGAAAGTTTGAAACTAAACACGGCGTAACATGGCTGATCTGCGAATAAGAGACGCGTTGCGAAGTGGAATAATTACGTGGAATTGTGTTTTTTTTTTAAACGGCAAGGGCCCAGACTAGGGCCTTGAAAGATCTGGATGGATGTTGCAAAAGTGATACAGTAGGAGTTTTACAGCAGGGTCCTCAGAGAAATATAAATTACAAACAAACCCTCAAAAAGAGAAAAAACCTTAGAGCCTATTCAGATTGATGACATTTTCAATCATATCATTATTTAGTAAAATTGATAATTATGTGGTTACGTTTAGTTTGTTACCAAATATTGGCAATATGTATAGAATTTTGACAACATTATTAAGCCAATCCTACCAAAATTTTGGCAATGTTGCTAATTTGTTAAAATTTTGGCATTGCCAAATTTTGTTAAGGTTTATTTTAGCACCCATCAGAACAGACCCTTTTAGGGCCCCTTTGATTTGTAAGAAAAGTGTAGGAAATTTGAAGGATTTCAATCCTATAAAAAAATTTCCTATGAAACCTTTTGAAACAAATGATTGAATCCTATACTATCCTTTAAAATTCCTATGAAATGGATAATCCTATAGAGATTTTGGAGGAAAGTTAGCAAGAGGTCCAACCTCATAGAAAAATTCCTTTGAGTCTATCTCTCTCATCCGATTCCTATGTTTTTCATGTGGTCCAATCAAACGGTCATTCATGTGTTTTTCCTATATTTTCTAATCCTATGTTTTACACCTGCATTCCTGTCAGAATCCTGCGTTTTTTTCTATTCCTCCGTTTTTCTATTCCTGCGATTCAAAGGGGCCTTAAAGATATGATAAAAAGCAATTGGGTCCTTGTACCACCATCGGCCGAGCTATTTTCGGTGACGCTGGCGAGCCTTCATGGATGAAGTGGAAAAGCACCTTGAGCTCGTCAGTCTTGCACAGCTCAAATTGCAGGGCCTCCAATCGGTGGAGGTTTGCTTTTGATTTTGCCGGAGGTATGAAGAACGGCCGGCTCAACCTTACAGATGATGTCGCCGGAAGTAGAAGAAATGGCCGACGCTGACCTCCTAGAACTTGCGTTAGAAATTTGAGGATGGAGTGATGAAACTCAATTTCGACATAATCTTTTTCCAGATTCTATTCTTGCCATGGGTTCACGAACAAGAGCTGGCTTACCCAACACAAAGGCCACCACAGGCAGTTTATTCCAAGGGCACAAAGCATACCATGGCCGCTGACGTCGGAGTAAATCGAAGCCACCAGCCCACCACCACCAAGGGCAGGATGGACGCCGGAGCTTGGACCAAAGTAGCTTTACTAAAACACGCCATAACGACGACTACGAGACTAACCCAACTATGCTAATACTTAATACGGGCGGAGCTAGACACCCCCCCCCCCCTCCCCCACCCCCGGCCGGAGACGGAAGGGAGGGGGCCAGAACGGTGGAGGAGTTTTTACTCTCAGTCGCTGGAGCTTTCGCGAGCGAGGCGTTGTTTGGTTCTAAACTTTTTCTTCAAACTTCTAATTTTTTTATCACATCAAAACTTTTCTATACACATAAACTTTTAACTTTTCCATCGCATCGTTCCAATTTCAACGAAACTTCTAATTTTGACGTGAACTAAAGACACCCCAAGCCCGCATGGAAGTAGCTGTTCCCGGAACGATAGCTCGTGAGGTTTTATTCGTGCAGATTGATAGTACTATTAAATAATTTTATAAATTTACTTGTATATTTGGATGAGTTAATATTGCTAATTATCTGCTCTAAAAGATTTCGCATGTCAAGTGATATTATACAATATTAAAATCGGCTCTTTACCAGTTTACCAGAAGTACATAGTGTTTGTTTGGTGGGATTATATTACTCTAGTAATTATAATTAGCATGAATGATTTGGTTGGCTAGAAAGGCTGCACAAGTTGATTGGCAATTAATGGATACTAAAATTGAACAGCCATCGATAAGATACCAAAAATCTAGGTACTTTAGTTGATGGACCCATATTCTATTTTATCTCATAGACATTATTTTTTCTTTAGTTTATAAAAAAATAGATTTTGTGATGTACAAAAATCTGTAGAATATTAGTCATGTATTTTTTTAATTTAATATATCTTAAGCGATATATATTGTAATATCTTTTTTATATCACTTAGCAAAATAACATTTTTGAAATGGCATTTTAGAACATATCATATTTGGGTGGTGAGTCGATATTCATCTTGATATATTTTCTATACATAGACTATAACAAAAAAATATTTTAGAATGTAACATATATTTTCTATATAGACTATGAAAAAGCGATATATCATTTTGTATCATTTTTGGAATGTCATTTTCACAAATATCATATTTTGGCGGTGAGTGGACATTGATCTTGATATATTTTCTATATAGACTATAAAAAATATATATTTTAGAATGTAACATATATATGTGTAAAATATCAGACATGTGATTTTTTTTTAATTTTAATACAATGCCAAGTGATATAACCCATTTATATAGCCGATAGACACGATGACTAACTGATAAAAACTGAAAGTACTTTAGCGATTAATTGAAGTATTAATTATTACAAATTTAAAAAATAAATTTATTTTATTTATAAAAAACTTCTATATAGAAAATTTTTATAGTTCGGGAACGTGCGCACATTAAACTAGAGATTTTTTTCAACCAAAACTCAAGCTGTGTTTAGATCTAAAGTTTGGATCCAAACTTCAGTCCTTTTTCATCACATCAACCTCTCATACACACACAACTTTTCAGTTACATCATCTTCAATTTCAACCAAAATCCAAACTTTATGCTGAACTAAACACAGCCTCAGTCTTACCGACATATTACTAACATTTGGCTTATCCAAAAGTCGATAGATCACAAGCATGCCCATGTGTGACGTTGGCTTGGCTAAAAGAATTGATTACAGAGATGCTCCTGTAGAGAGACTTTCGTGTCAGGATGTGACACTTGGACTCTGGGAGGGCATAGCACAACACAACTTTCTGGGAGGGCAGAGCACAACACAACTTGTAGTACCAAGCAAACAACTTGGTGATAATGAAACGGAGTAGGTGCATCTCGGTTGCATTAGGAACAATAGCTTGGTGGTTGCGGATTGAGGGATACAAATCAAATCCGACATATATTTGAGAGAGTTAACGTGAACTTATTCCTTACCTAAATCAAGTATACAATTGGTCACAGGGAATCTAAACATCATGCATCCATGCATCGATTTTTTGTTACTCCTTCCCGTCTCAAAATATATATACTTTGGTGGTGTTCTTTTATCCTAAAGATGAAGATTAAGTTTTTTACGCAAAACGAGATGGTATTAATGTATGATTGATTGAGTTTTAATTATTACAAACTTAAAAAATATATTAATATTATATTTTAGAGCAACTTTCATATAGAAAGTTTTTACACGAAACGCACCGTTTAGTAGTTTAAAAAACATGCCACGAAAATCTTAATCTTAATCCAACTCTTGTTGGAGAAAAGAACAGGATCTTTGATTAGATATATCACAATTTAGTACTACTAATTAGGACAGAAGCTGGAGAGTAACATTTGATTAATTTAAAAAAGAGGGTATTTTTGGGAATCGGGAGGCAATGACAAGGCTCGTCCCTCGTGCATCGCTACAGCAAAGTGATGATACAGTATCATATCCATGACCCCATGATAGGAGTACATGAATACGACGGCAGTTGACATAACAACACGCATATAAATCAGGTAAGAAGAAAATCATGCTGAAAGAAAGCCGGATGAATGCAAATGCTGACACTCCAGAAATACACAAACAAAAAAGTTGTCTTCAACTCTTCAAGTACAAGTGTGGAGGAGAATGCAAATGCTGACACTAGAAATATACAAGCCGAGGAGTCGACAAGTGATTCCATGGTCTCAACTCTCAAGGTAAGTGGTCACATGAAAACTAGAGTTAACCTCCCTTGGTAGTGTAAAACAAGGTCGTCTTTTGCCGCTCCAGAACTACTACCCGTTGTGTGACCAGACCTTAAAACAATGAAATCTAAGTTCATTCCCTCAAAGATATTACCTAATAACCTGCAAAAACTTGCTCTGCTAGGTAACCAAATTATTAAGGCACATTCCACTGGTGACCACTATAAGCCTTTAAGGATCCCAGTAGCAATTTAGCATCCCTGCTTTATCACCTTCCTTTCATATATATGCACAACAGTGCTTACCCTTTACAGCCCGGGCGAGAGAGAGTTATCAGAGTCTTCCCATGGATGGCATGTTCGTTCCCTTACTCCCACTGTTCATATGGGCTTCTAGTTTTTGCCGCACTCAACATGCAGACCATATCAGATTGCTTGGTCTGACATTTTATGCAAACAGAAATGGATATTTTTTAGATAATGAACAGAAATGGATATAGGGCATAAACTTTACAAAACATTGCAGGATGCTAATTTTTCTTCTTCTTCTTTTTTTTTTTTGCAGGAGACTAATACTTTTTTTTTACCTCTATATCAACGGGAAGAAGATGTATTCAGCATAGAAGAGATTCCAAATGAACCGGTAGTACTGTGAAATAGCATCCTGCAAGACAAGAGAGAATGGTAATTATCTATGCGAGAAGCAAGGTGACATAAGTATAATTGAAACACAACCATATTTATCCCCTAAATTATGTCCTATCAGATATTTACGGTAGTTTTGCAAGTGAGCTTACAAGAAGAAATGGGTTAACCAAATTTAAAATCGAAGCCCAATGATTGAGATTAGGATCAATTGTGCCATCTCATCCAAAAACAAGGACAGTCAATTTGCATATGTGACATGGCAAGTGGCAACTTGAGATTTATTTTAATTGTGTTGCTCTTTTGATTAGTAAGGAGGCGCAAAATGACATATCTTCCCAAGAAATAAAAAGACCTTACAACAGTGAGATCATGTTAAAGAGAATAGAATGGAAAATATTTGTTTGAGTAAAACAGCCACAAGCAAGCTCACATATAGAATGTTTCTATTAGCATTTTATACTAATGAAGTATCTTATTTTTCTAACAAAAGAAGTTCTTTTTAAAAGGTTTCAGAACTGAAGTCAAAAGTTTCACCTTAGTATATTTTGCTTGCTCCAGAACCCATGTCTGAAAAAATGGAACAGAAAACAAACAAGTTACAGTTAAAATGTGTGTAACAGCTTCACAGAAGCAAAACAAGATACTAGCTGTGAATGAAACTGCTTCTTATCAAGTCATTATTCTGTAGCCATTTTAGTTTCTGTTAAAATTTATGTGCAGCCTCACTTAGCAGTTGTTTTGACAATGACACGTTAAACCTGCAAGCCTTCCATGTGTGTAATTCTATATAATTCAATAAAAAAACTAATGGGCAGCCGATCATCACAACCCATGAAGTAAGCTAACAATGTCAATAAACTAATCATGAAACATTGTGCCAAATAGTTAGAGCATAGATACACGAGGGTTTTTCGTCTCTAGAAGCCTAACACATATACCTGGAAAATTATACCAACGGCAAGGGCAGCATGCACAGGCACCATTACAGTGCGCCTGAAAGCCTGCATATTGGAACATAATCAGTTATTAAAAAGGAACCACGTAATGCATCTTAGTATTGCAGTATGCAATAAAAAGCCTAAACACCTTGATCTGGAAAGTCCAATGACCAGAAAAATATCCTCAGGAGTTAGGATAAAAGAATTTACATGCTGACGCGGTTCAGAAATCACAAATATAAAAGGTTGAGTTTGGCAATTCTTTATATTGAACAATATTTGTAGAATATTGTAGTGGAAAATCATTGAAAATACTATTGCTTGAATCATAAAAAAAATACAAACAAAGAACATACAAGTCAAGCTAGGAAATATTGAAACATATGACAAGCCCTAACGTTTGTATGGAAGTGGACTCCCTAGCAAGTTGGAAATCCAACATGCCAAACATTGGCAAGTCAGAAATAAACTAGTGATCTAAGTAGGATGTCAATCTTACAAAAATTTGGTAGCAAATCCAATGCATGCCAATTGTGTTCACTGCTACCAAAATTTGGCAACAATCGGCATAGAACCATACAGCCCCAAATGTTACCATCACCTATTCTAGGTGGAACTACTAAGAGGATAAACACCAACAATAGCACCGTATAGTTATGTTTCTACCATATAATACCAATTTGATTGTCCTCCAATTCATGGTTTTACCATCTAAACATCATCCGCAGTTGAAACAGGAGAAATCAACAAAATACAGTATACCAATATCCAGTTAAATGCACAACATGCCATACAACATGTGCTGCATGTTTATAGGTGAACAGGCTGGAATATTAAAAGTAGTAAAGCAACCTGAGGCATGAGAAAAGCTACAGCAATAGCAGCAACATAATTTGCTATCAATAAACCAGAGCCAAGAAATGCAATGTTTCTGACACCGAGCTTTGTCGCCAAAGTTGATATTTGATACCTGAATGAGGAAAAAAGATATAATTAGAGTGTTAGTAGTCCACTCATTGACATTTATTAAACAATGGTATAGTGTATCAGAACTGCTTCCAATTGCTCCTATTCAATCTTAAGCAAAGCTAAATAAAAATCTGTTAAGCTTAAACATAGAATTCTGCACCTTTTTCACATTTGTGTTATGTTTTAATGTACTACTTCCTCCGTCCCAAAATATAACAACTTCTAGAGTTCACACTTTGTCCCAAATATAACAACCTAGTACTTGTAAAATGTGACATTGACCACTAAACTACCTATACCACCCCTAATATCCCTTGGCTTTATTATAGCCCTAACTAGTTGGCCTATAGGCAACAAAGTCTTTTTACCCCTCTCCTTAATACCCATGCTGAAGGCTAAAACCTGCTGGAGGGAGTATATTTGATTGCTTGTTTCGGATAAGATCTCCTAAGGACTAGAAATTATGTAACACAGGCATAACTTATTTGGCTAACAATTTGGCTAGCATAATTTGGAGAAGTACATAACAGTCTCTTGATGAGGGTTCTGTCTACCATTTTGGTTATGTCGGGCCAATGCCTCTGATCTTGCCAGAATCAGCATTCTCTGTTCGCCTAGTAAGCTGGTAACCCCAGAAGTACTCTGATAATTTCTTGCTGTCTACAAAAGCTGGCGTTCTGTCCTTTAGTTTATAGAAACTAGGTGCTGCAACCAATTACTGCCATTTTTTTTGGGACCTTTAATCTAAATATTGCATTATCCAAACGACAAGGAATGGCTGCTCAAAGAGAATTATTTACTCATTTGTGCTTTCATCACCATAAGGCAGTGAAATAGTAGTTTATTTGTGCTGCTCAAATACCTGTATGCAATATTCCATGATGACAAGTTCAAAGCACATAAATTGACACCAAAGTTCATGACAACATAATTGGCATTTCACTAGCGACTGTATTCAAAACTTATTATCCACATAAAGTTCAGTGACTACTATGTAGCAACAGGTAACAATATTTCAAATCATACTGGAAACCACCAAGGTACAGTTAATGGGAATCCCAGTTAGAATCTGGAACTAGAAAAATCCACTATCAAACCTTTGATTACTTTTACCACTTGTAAATTCAAGTTTCCATTTCAACTTGATTTAACATATATCATCCATTTCTTTCACTGGTACTTACCAATTTAAGTTACCTGATTTCTACTGATCACACTTTCTTTTAACCTTGAGACTTCCGCACCAAAACCAAAAAAAAATGAGCACGATCTTTGACAGAGAAAAAAAATGATGCCATAGTTGTAGAGCCAAGTGCCAACTAGAAACTCACTTCCGATCCCCTTCAACATCTGGGAGATCTTTGGTTATAGCAATGACCAAAGCAAATAAAGTCACGAAGCATGTAATGAAAGCAACAGGCGAGCTGCAGATAGAAAGATATCATATGGCATTAGATATAATGATCATCTCTGAATCTGTCTGCAATGAGATGTAACAGAACTTTTACCAATTTGATAGGCAGAGGATATCTAATATCTAAAAATAAAGCTAATTGGTACTGATTAAGCATAAAGAATTTTCCGGTGACTATTTTACCTCCATTGGAATGTAAGACCCAGTGCTGCTCTAGTAGCATAGTACACACCAAAGTTGAGAAGAAAACCACGGACCTAATAAAAATTGAATGGTGGGTTTGTCAAAATATATATATATATATAATGAATGAAATATTGAAAAATAAATATGAGTTAGTAATCAAAATCATATGCAGCATAAACATGGGGATTTTAAAGTTTCTGAATTGCACAGTGCATTGTTTGCTAACTATTAGGGAACCAAGGAACAATTGTTCAGAAGGTATTACAAGATCTATTCTCGAAAATTAGAATAGCAAGAGGAATGGTTGAGGTGATTTGCTAGTCGCACTGCTAGCTCTCAGTCATGCTCAGTTGGCAAATAGGTCTTTCACTTTCATAAGCTTCGAACCAGATGAGTTCAGATACTTACTAGGTATATCTCACAGATTATTTGTTGACAAAAAATATATCATAGATTCAGTCAGTCCAACTTTGAATCAGATGAGTTAAAGTGCTCTGATTACATGCACTTTGAATGAAAAGATTAGGTGTTCTATTTTATTTTGAGTAACCACAATTCGACCAGCAATACATTGCTAACAAACTACGTTAAGAATGCTTCTAAACACAAAAACAAACAGATAAAAAAAAATCCAATGGTTACTGAAGTGAACAAAGAGAAGATAGGAGCAAAGTACCGTTGCAATGATAAGAAAAGCAGCAACAGGATATCTCTTAAGTCTGAATGGAGGAACAGAGTATATGGTGCCAAGAAATAGACCAAGGCAATATAGAGAGGTAATGAAAGGTCCAAAGTTTGTCACAACAATTGAAAATCCCGCAGCTGCAAATAATACCACCAATAACCATGCTGTCTGAACTGAGAGATCACCGGCAGCAATTGGTAAATATGGCTTGTTTACCCTGTAAAGCAGCATAAAATTAGAAATGTCAGAATACAGTTAAAAGAAATAGGCAAGGAAATTTTGTTCTTAATGGTAATTCATAACATCACCATAATTTCTTATATGAATCTATAGAGAGATTATACATACTTATCGATTCTAATGTCATAGATCTGATTGATCCCAACGATGTAACCATTGCCACAGATTAACGCCACGAGCCCATAGAACGCTTTGAATACCAACCACCAATTTATCAGTTGGGGGTTCTCTATCAAAGCTCTAGCAACTAATGCTCTGTATTAACACAGCAAAATTAGCACCAAAAGATGAAAACTCAAATTTGACCAATATAAAAGGAAAACTAGAACCACACATGGATCCCAAGGCAGTTCCTCGAATTGTATGTGGCCGTAAAAATCTCCAGCAGGAATCCTTGAGGTCTGACAATGTCTTCGATAATGGGGCTGGTCCAGCTGCACCAGCTTGAGAGCAAACCTGTACCAGGTTCAACATCGTTATGCATACAAGGCACACAGTGTTTTTAAATAAGCATAGAAAATAAGTAACAAAAATATGCCTGAGCAGAGTAATGCATTCATAGGCATATTATTCATTCATAGCTATCATGAATAATATGCCTGAGCAGAGTAATGCATTTAAACAGGTCATCTCAGCCATCATACTTGTTATAAGGCCAAATACCCAACAGATCATGCCCAACATATCTAAGCCTTTTTAGAACCCTGCATCTGGTAACACTAATTCTCACAGTTCTGTTAAAGTACTGACTATTTGCTAGAAAACAATTGGCTCAAGAAAAATAAATGTCTCAATCACTACAAGAACATCCGCAAGATTGCTTTCTTTAGACTTATGCGAACTGCTTCATATTGGAATTCGGATCTATCAGGCACCACCTTTACCATTTTTGAAGGTATGGATAGATGCGTTGAGACTGGTAGCTCCGAATGGTGCCTGATAGATGAAGTCTCAACGCATCTATCCATACCTTCAAACTCAGATTGAGTTACATAATAGAATCCATGTTTGCACTCTCTAAGTGCCTTAAATCTACAAGCTTATTCATAGTTAAACCTGAATCATTTGTGTTTATTGCTGGCTTGCTTCCAGCCAGAATCACTGCTTTAGCAAAGAATGCCTCATCTAGGCACAAGCTTTCACAAATTTCGAGCAAGAGATAACATATGTTGTACAATGTTGGCTCTGGAACTAATCAAACCAAATTAGCTTCAAACATTCATCTAAGATGCAGCACAAGATCATTATGTGTGCCAATGCTACATTCAGAAAAAGAAACAGCGACATTGCATGCTCCAGACGAAATATAGTGAAATGAAGTGATAATGTAGCCCCGAAAAATGAATATACACTTGCTTCGGGAGTTCGGGTGTCACACTTTCCTGCTAGCTAACCTAGCGAGCATAGCAGCCGAACTTGCTGCGGCACACTGGCAATGTCACTTACTATATCCCCAAGCATACCTAGGCTCTCCGCAAGATTAACAACTTATTACAAGCTGCTCATGTTTAATCGATCCAATTAGCCTTATGTTTTTCTATCTGTAATCAATCAGAGCAATAGTACACAAAAATTACTCGTGCTCAGCGGCAGGTAACATCGCATTGACGTTTTTTTTAGATAATGACCTCGCATTGACTAACTAATAGGAAATTATGGACCGGGATTTGGCAAGCTTACCCGCACGGCGTCGCGCCGGCTCCAGCGTGCGGCGTTGCAGGGGGCACGCGGGAAGCGCGCCGAAGCGGAGGAGAGGAGAGGGGAAGCGGGCGGCGGCGGAGGGCCGAGGAGGCGCGGAGCAGGACGCCCGCTGCGGCTGGCGGTGGCGGCGGCGCGGCAGGGGAGAGGAGGGGAGGCGAGGGAAGCCATGGAGGGAGAGAGGGGGGAAGGGGAGGAGGCGTGGGGTGCGTTTGACTGTCAGCCACCCATCATCGCCATTGATGACGTGGCAGGAAGGAGCTCCTGGAAGACCTACGGATGGTGTCGGTGAGTGACGATGGAAGATGAGAACCGTGCGTTTGTTATCCTATGGCTGCGGAGAGGAAGGTACAGCCCAATCATTTAGCTTATTCGGGGAAGAAGCCAAACAATATATTTATACAAACGAAATATAATTTATAAATAAAACTTTTATGTACGTGTTTTTAGTGATGAAAAATAAAATTCGATGAAAAACCCCTAAAATCAGCTTCAGATTAAATGTTGAAAAATTAAATTTTGGCTAATAAGTATAAGCATAAGTTGCGTCAAAATGAGAAGAAAAATATAAAACTTACTTAAAAGTGAAATTTACCAGAAATTACATTTGTTTTCACATATTACTAGAAATATGATATATTTACAATACAAATACACCATCGTAAAGAAAGTGAACTGCAAGTTCGATATACACATTTGAAAGAAAAAGGAAAAAAAATATAGATCTATTTGGTCGAGTTTGACTTGAAATTTTGTACAACGGTACTTTATTCAATCATAAATATTTGATGTTTAAAAAATATTTACTTTTTAAGATGACATTTTGTATTAGAATTTTTTTAGAGTAAGTTTACAAAATACAATAAATTTTATGATATTATTATAGGAGTTCTTATGGTGAATCTATGTACAGTATTTTTTTAAAAAACCAAACATTTGAGAAACAATTGTGATTGGAATTTTAAGTTTGATTAAATCTTATCTTAAAAGAATATATTTCACCATGCACTCTGTCATCGTTTTTCAGAATTGCTCCGTAACAATCTGATTTGAATTTGAGAAACCCCATATAATAAACTTTTCACTCGTCATCACCGCGTGTCGTCGTCTGAAATTTGAGAACCGCCAAAATTTTTACTTGGCCTCCCTCTCGTCGTTTCTCCAGCTGCCCTTCATCCTCGGCCCCGTCGGGCCCTCGCCGACGAAGACGCTCTCGACGAGCTTCCGCAGCCGCTCCCTCGTCGACCGCGGCAGCAGCTTCGCCACGCGGTTGATCTCGCGGCCGATGTCGTACTCCTCCCTCGGCCCCCACTCCCGGTCGAACAGCAGCCACGTCGGCTCGGCCACGCCGCCGCCGCCGCCGCCGAGGTACTCCGCCGACACCACCTCGCACCGCCCGGCGCCGCCGGTGTCCAGCCTGCTCCCCCTGTCGCAGTCGTTGCGTATCCCGACGCCCAGCCTCGCGTCGCCCTGCAGCACCAGCCCTGCCCTCGGGTACAGCGCGTGCCCGTGCAGCGACGAGTACGCCGACGGCCGGTTCCCGCCGTCGAGGTACTCGAGCTGCGGCGCGTCCACCCACGCGCCCGCGCTGTGCTGCGAGAAGTACATGCGGAGGAGCTCGCCGGAGAAGTTGCTCACGCGGAGGGTCACGTGCTCCCAGTCGCCGACGTGCTCGCCGATCTTGCCGAGCGGGATGGTGAGGGGCCCCACCTTCGCCCTCGCCGGGCCGTTGAACGGGTAGAAGAACCACACGGCGAGGTCGGTCGCCGTCGCGCCCAGCATCGGCTTCGCCTGCACGTACACCTTCGCGCCGGCGAGGTCGCCCTTCTTGACCCGCTCCCTCTGGAAGTTGTCCACCGGCAGGTCGAGCCAGTACCCGCCGTCGTTGCCGCCGCCCTGCGGGAGGTTCGACCCGTCGGCGGCGACCGGCGTCGGGGTCTGGCTACCCTTCTGGTACAGCAGCGCGCCGTTCTGGAAGAACCACGTCACCGACGACGGCAGGTAGGGCTCGTCGGGGTGGAGGAACAGCTGCGGCGCGTAGGCGGCGAGGAGCGCGTTCACCTGGGCGAGGTCGGGCATGCAGGACGTGTACGCCGCGCCGTTGTTCTTGAGGCACGCCAGCGCCGACGCGCTCGCCGCCGTCGCGTCGCTCCTGGCGAGGACGAACGTGCCGGCGTGCACGCCGCGGGCGTCCACGCCGCGAACCGCCGGCCTCAGGGCGACGGCGCTGAACCCGTCCTTGTCCCACACCGTCGCCTCCGCCTCGCACGCGTCGGTGAAGTCGGCGCGGACGCACGCGACCTCGTCGCGCGGCGGCTTGTCCGGCGAGGCCGTGACCGCGACGCCGATCGCCCTGTAGCCATCGGGAGGCGTGGGGAGCCAGAAGTGGGCGGCGTCGTCCTGGCTGGACCAGACGGGCGCGTAGTCCAGCGGCGGGGCAAGGAGCCCGCCGCCGGAGACGTCGCGGGCGACGAGGACGTGGCCGAAGAGCGGCCGGTCGTTGCGCTGCGCGTAGTGGCCGAGGGCGCTGAAGCCGGCGGGGACCTGCTCCGGCCTGAAGAAGGTGGCGCCGCCGCCGTCTTGGCCGGTGGACCAGACCTTGGCAAACGTGGTGACTTGGCGCACCTCTAGACCACCAAGGTCAATGCTACCCTTTGCAAATCCTCCATCTGAAACTGAAAATTCAGAAAGGCCAGTCAGCATCTCGAAAAGAAAAAGAAGCAAGCAAGCAAGCAAACAAACAAACGCCAGTCAGACAAAGATGTTACAGAGTTGACAAAACCACAAAACTGGGCCTATCAAAATGGCAGGCCATAACTAAGAATAGAAATTCGTTTAGCCAAGTGTTTATAGAGCTGAAAAAATTAGCAAGTCATAATGATAGCAACAGAGAGCAGAAATGGTCTATTCAAGTTGTGGTGTTCTGGATAGAGATGCGCATTTGTCTTCCAAACAACCCTGGCTAGCTAGATGAAGGCATAAGATTATGCTGGTATATGCTTTCTATTCTCATTTGATAACATATATATTCTTTGGAAATCATGGTTATCAGTGTCTGTTCAGAAAAGGGCACACCAATACGAGCATTTCAGAGCAACCGAGGACTAGAGGAGGATCTTGTAGCCCATGAATATAGCAAAGTATGTTCCTAGTCGTCATTGCAGGTAAGCTACCTCGCCAGCATCGCCTAAAGCTGCCTTATTTGCATTTAGCCATATAACTCCTGCATTTGCCATGCATGTATTTTTCTCTGGATATGTTCCAATCATATTGGACTTGTAGTCAAGAGGAAAATTAATGATGAATGCGTGATCAGGACAAGATTGAAAAAAATAATAATAATCAGAATTTGCTAAGTGGAGCTGTGCGTGAGAAGAACAGTAACCGAGTATCGAAAGGCAAACCTTAGTAATTTAGCAAAAGAAGCGAAGTGCTGTAATGATCAGGATCACCAAGTTTTGCAAGAAATCAATTCCATTCGAGAGGTACACAAAACCATTCGTGCAAATAATAACATAATAACCAGAAGAACAAAAAAAAACACGAGGTATGCACAAATATGCAATACGTACCTGACGACGGCCACGACGGCAACGGAGCCGGAAGAGAGAACGCCGTCTCGATGGGCAGCGCCGCCGTGCTGGCCATGGGAAAACAAGGCAAACACCACTTGCTCCTTCGCATAGCACACACACAGGACGGGGACTAACCGGAGAAATAATTCAGGCTGTTCCTTTCTTCCTTCACTTGCACAGCTATAGAGATCGGAGGGAAAGAAGCAAAAGAGAGGCAAATTTAACGGGCGAGATCTCTGTCCAGGAGACCCTTGTCCCTTTCAACGGCACAGCGACTTGGCAAAGACGACTCGACTCCTTCACAGTCACAGGCTTGGATTAGCTAGCTAGCTTATCGTCTACTTCTGGCCTATGGTTACTTGCAAGAAACCAATGTGCTCCTAAGCTCTCAGCTCTGCCTGTGCGGCTGTGCCTGATGGCAATGACTTCACTTCTAGTGATCCCTACCCGCATAGCTTGGCCGTCTTTAAGAAGGTGTGGCTTGGCTTGACGGCTCTTCCATCTCCCACGACACAAGTCTAATGCAGACACACTATAATTAATATTGCATCGACGCATGTCAGCGTCACTTCCATGAGGAAAACACGGCGATGTTGTTTAGTGTTTCTTGCCTGCCTCAACTTGTGTGGATGCATGTGTGTTAGCTGGAGGTCAGCGTGGACAGACAGGAGTACATGACAGTATGATAGGTTCGTTGTACAATTGTACTCTTCCTGAACTGTAGTATGATGTACCATATCATTGGAACAGGAGAGAAAAAAACGTGCTGCAAACTGAACGTTGGTAGCAGCAACCAGTAACCACCACTACGCGCCATGAGCTGCGGTTGTTGCAGACTCGCGGCAAGATTGGTTGGGTCAGATAGGCACAAGTGACAAATGTGGCATTTCTCTAAGCTTCTACTATAGATACCGTACCATGGCTATTGGTCAGATAAGGACTTGGTAGTAGTTCACACGAATGGCACGAGGGGAAGCTGAAGCTGACCTGACCTGATCAGAGAGGTGTGCTCGGAGTTGAAAAATTCCGGTGCTGATGTGGTGGAGGGGAGAGCTAGCTTGCTGGGACAAGAAACTGTGTCGAGCAAGTGGATTGCAGTTCTGGCCTTCTGGGTTATCTGCACTCTCCAGTTGAACAATGGAAGTATTCAGATTCATGGAGCAAGAACAGCAGCATGCTGCTGTAGACTGCTAAAAAAAATTCAGAAATGCTTATCTCGTAGATTGAAAGGCAAGGGACATTAGAAACTTGAAAAGGATGTACAATGGGAATATCCGTTTCTTCGACATGCATATACATTTAGTCACATCAACTTGGGCATTTTCAGGATTAATAACTAACTGTTGGTGACAGACTGAAGAAGTGGATGGCATGATTTTATTCTCATGCACAATTATGGACCATTTTCTAATCATTGAGATGAACGGATGTATGTTCCGTGAAAAACAGTGCAGAACTTTAGTTGGACCGATCCAGAAGTCACATGCTGTAGATCGAACACAGTTTATATATTCCCAGCAAAAAATATGTAACAAGAGTAGTTTTTCAACTATCTAAAAATATTCCCAGCGAAAAAGATATGAACTTTCATCCCTCGAGGGATGTTCCCTCGTTGTTTGCATGTCATCTAAATAGTTATCAAAAAGTTTAAAAAAATTTGACAACGTAGATTAATATGAAATATATCACTCCACAAACATGCAAGACCAAATTTAACTTCTACAAGTTGCAACAAAAAAAACAAAAAAAAACTGAAAATAGTTATCTTACATTCATAGCTATATTTGTTATTTTTGTTACAACTTGTAGAAGTTGACTTTTAACTTGCATGTTTTTTGAGTGATATATTTCATATTAATCTATCTTACCAATTTTTTATGATTATTTAGGTGACATATACGAAACGAGAGGATATCCCCTCAAGGTATGAAATCACTTTCTGAGTGAAAAATCCATGTCTCATGTGCTGCAACGCCGTTGCCCAATTTCGCTGACCAAACCCTCACGAAGTGGTTGGTATAAATATGGAAAACAAAGACGAATGCATAGGATAATATAGAGAGCACAAGTTGTCATGTATGATGGAGATAGGCATGGCCAAAACACTGGGAAACATTGTCTCCAGATAAGATGAGTATGAGGGACACTAGCCCATGCAGCCATGCTACAGTGACTTTCAGTTCAACATCTTTTATCCATCAGCAAAATTGAAATCATGTTATTCCTTTCTTTGGGACATTGAATACGGATATTTCCTAGATTATGACAGGCATACTGCAGATATACATTGAATAAGCGCAAATTAAGCATTCGATTTTGAAGTATTTGGTTTTCATTGCTGGTTTATTTTGGACAAACCCACTTGGCTAGCATGCAAAATCGTGAACTGAAAAGAGCGAAGATTTCAGGGTGGCCATAAGAGAATTAATTTACTGAGGGGACTGCTAATACTAGTGGCATATATATACATACTGTCAGATTACAAGTAAGAATGATTGCAGAGAGAATAGTGGAAATTTCACATTTATGAACTTGCCATTATTTTCGTTATAACTTAAAAACAGAATAAAACCTCCATGCTGCTGGTACTAACCCCTCTGCTTTGAGAAGACAGGTTCTTTGTTCCCTCCAATAAGTCAGATTCCTTCGTCATCCCTTGAAATTCAATCAGTCAGGTGTGTTATCACCAATACTCAAATGCAAGTACTGCAAAGCACAGTACAAAACTAAAATTACATTTCCATTTCCCAGAGTCAGTTACACACAAACTTGCGACTGTATGGCTAAAGAAACACTTACCATGGCCTACAAAGAAGGGACCATCTGGTATCCTGAGATAAAATAGTTGTTCCCGTTTTCCAGCAAACCAGATTTTAGTGGGTCAGGGGCTTTAATACAAAGAGAAAGCAGCCCCAGCCATGTGCTAACTATGGCGTGTAACAAATGATTCGACAAGTGGATTTACAAGGTCAGGTGCTTCATCCTGCAAGGAAAATTATAAACAAATGATTCAGCTGCCAACTTATCAAATAAAATATAGCTAAAAGCAAAGCAAATTGCAAAAAAGAATTAATCAACTGATTTCAGCTGTTACAGGACCTGTGGGCAGTGTCCAACATTTGGCAAGACAACAAAATCTTCAACAGTATCAAAAGATGCGTAAGCTCTTCCAAGCTCCACAGGCTCCCATGGGTCCTTCTCACCCCAAGCTACCAAAACTGGACACTGCAAAAAAAAAAAAAAATCATATATAGTTGATATAACCGAAATAAGTTCTAAAAAAACAAAGTGAATAATCACTCACAGAACCACAGGAAACCTAACCTTCACTCTGGGAAGTAATTCTTCAGGTAGAGGACCTCCTGAGTAGCAGATGAACTCAAGGAATACATCCACAGCACCAGGGTCAAGCCCTGGCTGCAGAATAAACTGAACTAGCTCATCTGTCACTGCGGATGTGTCATGGTAGCACTGAAATGAATTCCATCAGAACTAGGAGAAAAAACATTGTGGAAAAAAGGTTACAGTTATGTTACAAACTAAATAAAGGGAAAAAAACAGGTTCTATACTTAAGATGATGAATTAAAGATTTTCTTTCTACAGAATGCAGCCATTGGAGCAAGGTCATGTGGCTTTTACTTAATTTGGGACGTTAAGCCTGAATGTTGTGTTACCATAGATTTTTGTATATGCCCAATAATCTGCTTATGCTTTGATTATTTTCCAAGATGAGAGGATTAAATAAATATACACCTGACAGAGAATATTTTTCACAGATTCTGGTGTAGCAACAGCGCTGAAGAACAGCTTCCCAATAACAGTATTCCTAAAAACCAGAAAAGGGATTGTAACAAGGAGGTAACAAGTATGTGGATCCCGCAACAAACTATGAAATTCTGAGTTACCGTAGCAGACTTTGGAATGATTTGATGAAAGGCCTTCCAAACCATGGCTGCTTACTGATATGAAGCATCCTCAATGAAATATTCAATAAAAAGATACCCTTGCACTTCTGTGGTTCCATAGCAGCTGCCTGTAGACCAACAAGCCCTGAAGGACAATAATAAACACATTACAAGTGCTTGTTAAATTCTTTTTCATGCGTACAAATACTCATCAGTGACATGTATCACTCGCACCTCCCCTCAAAATTTAGAGGTACATGAAGAGAACTTGTCTCATCTTGGACACTACTCCAAATATCATTCTGGAGTAGTTACTAGGCTAATACACTCTAGTATAATGAAAATCAATTTCCATTGTGAAGCATGAGCGCATATGACATATCTAGTTGATATCACCATAATTTTGAACAGCATCATGCACCCACTCACTACAGAAATACTCCCTCTAGTCATTAATATATGATGTTTATATATTAATGACCGGAGGGGGTAACAGATAGGAACAACACTACTAAACTAGCATAGACATCATTTACGGTCTTCCTTTTTCCCTACTCAAATGTGTTTTCTGAAATAACAAAGGGAGGAATTTGAAAAATGTTCTTTTGGCAGAGTAAGCAATTTTATGGATTACATCGAGCGACATGCATTCTTATGCTCGTCCATTAGTTACACATACAACATATGATCCATTGCATTTCATGTATGATGTATGTAAGCATGGAGCTGAGCATACCTCCAATTGAATTGCATATGAAGAAAGCTTCGCTCTTAATAACTTCAGCACAAAACGTATTCAGCTGTTCTCCCCATGTCTCAAAAGTATAAAAGCTCTCACCAAGCTCACGTGGATTAGGCTTATCAGAATAGCCATAACCAATAAGATCAATTGCATATACTCTGTTTTTCAGAGCAAGAACAGGAATATTTTTCCGCCAATGGTCACTGGAAAAAAAAAAGAGGGGAGTCTGTACATGATTGCTAAGCAAAGTGATGGGGTGTTTTTTGACGCAGAAAAGTGATGTAGTGTGATAATTAAAAAACAAACACTAGTAGTCCCCATTATTGTATCAAATCAAACTATTGGAAAAGTAATGCAGCTTGAGGTTTCATCATAAAACCAACATTTAACACAGCCCAAGATTTAACAATAACTAAGGATTACATGTGATCAGTGATCACTAACCAAAAAATTCTCAAAATATTAGGTCCAACATTTCTTCTCCTAAACCTTTACAACATAGAACTACAGAAGCATCTAAAAAACAGTTGCAGCAACAGCTACTGCACTGCCATGGCCTTAAGCTAACTCCCCATTGGCATGATAACTGAAAATTTTAGTTTGGTTGCCTGCAGATATGAAACAGAAAGTCCACGCACCTGTTTGCTCCGAAACCATGAATTAGAACCAATGCAGGGCCAGAAGTTCCCGCGTACTGGTACCGAATGTTGTAGCCCTTCCAATTCCACATGCTACGCAAACAAGATGGTAATTTAGAAACCAGAAATACGAGAAACTGGAACTCTGTAAGCAAGGTCACACGCAAAATAACTCAGGGTAACACTTGAACTATAGACTGGAGTGGGGGAGTGGAGACTTGTGCCTACCTGGTGCGCACCTGGGGCTGAGTCTCCAACGGAGCATCCGTGGCCGTGTGCGGCGCCGCGGGGAGGCTCTCCTCGACCGGGTCGGCCATGGAGGAGGCCTCGACACGCAGCAGCCGCGCCCGCGCCCGCGCCGCGTTCCCCGAGGAGAGCCTCGCCCGCGGCCTCCAGGTAGTGCGCCGCGCCGACGACGCGGGGCAGGAGGCGGCGGCGGCGGTGGCGGAGGGAGCCGTGCCACGGCGCGCGGAGAGGGTGGTGGCCACTGGAGGACGTGCCGCCGCGCCGCTCGTCGCCATCCCCGACGGCCGCACGCAACGCAACGACGCGGGGGCAACGGCTGTGTGGAGCGTGGAGGAGAGTCGAGACGAGAGAGGAAGAGAAAGGGATCGGTGACGGTGAGAAAAAGCGTGACTTGTCTGCACGGCGTTTCGCCGCGTGGGCGAAACGGGACGGGAGGAGGAGTGCGCGCGTGCGTGTGCGTGCGTGCGGGCCAGGTGGTTTCGCTGGGCCGTGACGCCAGTGGACGCGTGGGCCAAGAGGCCGGGACGTATTTGGGCCGAGGCAGTAAATCACTCCGCGGGCCGTAGGGATGCGGCGGCTAACGTATTTGGTCTGGGCTACGTGCACGGGCGCACGGCTGCTCTATTGTGCATGGGCCATCTATTATTACCAGGTGGCCCAATGTACAGACGCATGCTACTACTACCAGAGAGTTATAAGAGGGGACCACCTATACATTTGGCGACAAATTTTCTCCTAAAAATTTGACAGATGTAATTGTAGTACAATCGTAGTATAATTACACTGTAACTTATATGTAATTACACTGTAACTTGTATGTAACTACAGTGTAACTTGTGTAATTTTGAATCGTTATATCTATTACAAGATTTGTTTTGGTGAGGAAGAAAAAAAATCACGGCACACACATATGTATAAGGATTTGTTCCCACAACCTCCATTTTACCGAAATAACATATTACAGAAAGATTTTTGAAAGTTACATACAAGTTACACTATAGTTACAGTGTAATTACATGCAAGTTACAGTGTAATTACACTACGATTGTACTGTAATTACATCTGTCAAATTTTTGGGAGAAAATTTGTCGATAAATATATAGCAAAATCGTATAAGAGTTAAGACCACATTGAAGTTTGAACACACTTGAGGTGTGTTTGGATAATGGAAAATGGAGGGTGGGATTGGGATTGGGAAATAAATGAAGGGTTAGATTAAATGGAAGAGGGAGAATGAATAGTTAGGATTTAAAGATATCTTTTGATGGATGGAAAATTATTTCCCTATCACATTATCCAAATAATGCCTTGATGTGGTATGGACTCATAGCGGACTCGGATTACAAACAGATCGGATAGTTCATACATGTATAAATAAGACGTTTTAATTTTTTTACAATCAAATTTATAAAAAAAAATTAGCAAATTTAAACATTAAATTAGTTTTATTAAATCTAACGTTAAATATATTTAATTATGTTTGTTTTGTATTGAAAATGTTACTATATTTTTTCATAAATTTGGTCAAATTTAAAATTTTTTTACTACGTACACAATAACTTAGAAACAACGAAACAAGCTACTCTCAAGTCTCAACCTAGCGAAAGAGTCTCTCAAAGTTTTAAAAAGACAGATTAGTCATTTGAATAGACTATAATGGTGTATGGTTCAATCATAGGGTGTGATGATATGCCCTTACAAATATCAGATTATCTTAAATAGCACTTTGTCGAATAATCCGCGTAAAAAAATTAAACAATCCACATCCATCGGATTACAGTAATACCATATCTTTATCTATCTCCGTCAAATTTTAGATACCTACCATATATCCTCATTTCGGGTACGGATGGGATCGAAAAGTATCCGATTTATTTTCGTCCCTTATCATTGATGAGGTTGACTGCTGGACCTACACCAATAATCCAACTAGAAAACGAGCAGTGGCCAGTGGAGATGTGGAGGTACAGGCGTAAGAATGACGAGCAGGTGAGCGTGCAGCCGTCAGGTGGCTGCGCACTGTTCGTTTGACTATTGGCTAGGGAATCTCTTCGACTAATCTTTCTTCCCGTCTCAAACAATCACTGACCTGAAACAACACACGACTAGTTCAGCTGAAAACGCAGCCACGCAAGTCGCGCGGAATAATAGAATTGATCACACTTTGTTCAGAGTCAAAATTGTCAATCATTGGACATTCCAGCTCGTTCATGAGCTGGTCGTGCATCTTGAACATCAGAACATGCCCTTAATTTACACGTAGCTTAATCAAGTTTGGAGATCTCATCTGACCTGAGCATGGTGTGATTCGTTTGTCACACTCACAATGCAACTCCACAGCAAAACGATGCTCGTTGTGTTCATCAATATCGTGTTCATCCACTGCCTTAGCGTGAACATTGGAGCGGCGGTGGCCAACCCTGCAGCCAGCGATGGCCGGTTCGTCCACCACGGCTTCACGGCGGAGGACCTCACCATGGACGGCCTCGCCGCCGTCACGCCGACCGGGCTCCTCGCGCTCACCAACGCCACGTACCAAACGAAAGCCCACGCGTTCCACCCTGCGCCTCTCCGCTTCCTCAACACGTCGTCGTCCGCCGCCGCCACCGTGCGGTCCTTCTCGACGTCGTTCGTGTTCGCCATCGTGTCCGACGACCCCAGGTTCAGGAACAACGTCGACCATGGGCTCGCGTTCGTGGTCTCCCCGACCAAGAACCTCTCCACGGCGAACGCCGGCCAGTACCTGGGCCTCCTCAGCATGGCCGACGACGGCAAGCCGAGCAACCACGTGTTCGCCGTCGAGCTCGACATCATCACGAACCCCGAGTTCGGCGACATCGACAGCAACCACGTCGGCGTCGACGTCAATAGCCTCAGGTCGCTGCAGGCGAAGACCGCCGGCTACTATGTCGACGGCGACGGCGCGTTCCGGAGCCTGCAGCTCAACAGCCAGAAGCCAATGCAGGTGTGGGTGGACTACGACGGCCAGGCCAAGCAGCTCAACGTGACGCTGTCTCCCGTGCAAGTGCCCAAGCCCAAGAAGCCTCTGCTCTCCCAAGCCATCGACCTCTCCACGGTCATGGCCGAGGAGATGTACGTCGGCTTCTCGTCGGCGACGGGCGTCGTGTTCACGCACCACTACGTCCTCGGATGGAGCTTCAGCTTCGACGGCGGAGCTGCTCCCTCACTGGACTTCTCCATGCTGCCCAAGGTGCCACGAGTGGGTCCTACACGTCGGTCAGTAATGCTGTATGTTGTGTTGCCGATTGCCAGTGCACTACTGTTTCTTGTTGCGTTTGTTCTGGGTGTCTTCTTCGTGAGAAGGTGGCACCGGCAGTTTGCGGAGGTGCGCGAAGATTGGGAGGTTGAGTTTGGTCCGCATCGGTTCACATACAAGGATCTGTTTCATGCTACGCAGGGATTCACAGACAAGAACCTACTCGGTGCGGGAGGGTTTGGGAGCGTGTACAAGGGTGTGCTTCCCGTGTCCAATACAGAGATAGCGGTGAAACGGGTGTCACACAATTCAAGACAAGGGATGAGAGAGTTTATTGCTGAGGTGGTAAGCATCGGCCGTATCCGACACCGGAACATCGTGCGGCTCCTGGGTTACTGTCGGCGCAAGGGAGAACTTCTCCTTGTTTATGACTACAAGACAAATGGTAGTCTTGACAAGTGTTTGCATGATAATGCTACATCAACCACACTCTGTTGGCCCAAGAGGATCCACATCATCAAAGGTGTTGCGTCGGCATTATCGTACCTACACAAGGATTGGGAGCAAGTAGTGATCCATCGAGATGTCAAGGCAAGCAATGTTCTTCTAGACAGCGAGATGAATGGACTATTAGGGGATTTCGGCTTGTCAAGGCTACGGGATCATGGAGCCGATGCAAAGACCACATACGTGGTAGGAACTATGGGTTACATTGCCCCAGAGCTCATGCACACGGGGAAGGCAACACCGTTGACGGACGTGTTCGCGTTCGGTGTGTTCCTCCTCGAGGTCACCTGTGGACGAAGGCCGATTGGGGAAAGCGATAGCAACGAGATTCTATTAATAGATTGGGTGCTGAAGCATTTTCTTAGCGGATCCATCCTTAACGTGGTGGATCCCCGGCTTGCAGGGAGGTTCAGCTTCGAGGAGGTGAATCTTGTTTTGAAACTAGGACTAATGTGCTCACATCCATTGCCCAAGGCAAGGCCAAGCATGGACAAAGTTGTGAAGTACCTCGATGGTATGCTTCCAGCACCAGAGCTATCACCGACGCACATGAGCTATAACATGATGGAGTTGATGCTACAGAATGGGGTTGGTTCACATAGTTTACCCGTGTGGTCCTCTTTGTTAGATAATAGTGTTGGTACAATGTCATCTGCTTCGGTTCTCTCGGACGGGAGATGATTCTGAAGCTTGTACCCGATACTTGTCAGTGGGCTCGGTAATCCTTTGTATTTTGTTGTTAGTGAATGCAAACAATTATGCACTTTTAGAGTTCCTATTTTTAATCATTTTTTTCTTGATAGAAGACACATATATACTACACACGCATCGTAATTGTGCCCTATTTAACACACGACCAGTAGATATCAGAGGCTGCGACAAGCCTAAGGCAGCTAAGACTTGAGCCCTAGTTTTTTTTTTAATTTCTATTAGATTCTATAAAAAAAAGTGAAATTTTTTAAGATACAAGATGTGTAAACAAGTTGAACCGGAGTCTCAAGAAGCATAAAATTCCTATGCTGATTTAGTACTGCTACTGTTGTATTGCACATTTATATGCTTAAAAGATGATATGAAATTGACACATGGTGTGGGCAATGAAGGGTGTCACATTTGAACTTATGTGATTTTTATGGAGTTTAAATTTGACTAAAATGGAGTGGTTCACAAGTAAGTTTCATTATAAAGGCATTTTGTAGTATACGCAAAACGAGGTGAGCCATTAGCTCATGATTAATTGATTATTAATTATTTTAAATTTCAAAAAAGGATTAATATGATTTTTAAAGCAACTTTCCTATATAATTTTTTTCCAAAAAACGCACCATTTAGTAGTTTGGGAAGCGTGCGCGTGGAAAACGAGATGTTTTTCTCTCTCAATCTCCTAGATCTCCCAGGAAGAACGAAGCCTAAGGTATTTATGGGATTTTTCTAGGTTATGAAAAGAACTAGCTGGGTTGCCCACGCAATTGCGCGGCTAGCACCCAAACAAAATTATATATTTTTTTTATGATTTTACTAAAAATTTATTAAATAGCTATCTTATTGTCTTAAGAGTTTGAAAGACCAAACCTTATCATCCCCATGTTTCTAATTATATATTATTTTAAAAGTCACACCAGATACTACCCCTTATGTCATCTTCTTCTTTATTTGCTTGCTCGATCTACCACTATTTCTATTCATTCTCCTTAGAACCTTTAAACATTGGATCTTATAGGTTTTAGAGTTTATTTTCACGTTGAGTTTCGTTTTTATAATTTCTAGACGTCATGTCAAACGTTGCCATTATACTCCTCTATGACCCGTCTACTATCTCTTCTCTTTATTGTCATTGAGATTTTAAAAATCAAACATAATTATCATTTAGGTTCATTTTTACTTTCTAGAAGTCCCGCCAAACCGTCAGTGACTTTGCCATTGCCATTGTACTTCTCTACGGCTCGCCCGCTACCTCCCTTCTTTATTGTCATTGAGATTTTAAAATCGAATATGATTATCATTGTTTTTTTTTTACTTTTTAGAAGTTCCGAACCTTCAAAAATTGAACCTTGTAGTTTTTAGAGTTTATTGTCTTGTTGGGCTTTATTTTTTTATAATTTTTAGAAGTCTTGTCAAACGATGTCACTATGCTCCTCTACGGCTCGTCCGCCGCCTACTCTTTATTGTCATTGGGATTCTAAAAATCGAACATAACTATCGTTGGAATTCATTTTTTATTTTTTAGAAGTCCCGTCAACCGTCGGCAGCTCTGCAACTATACTCCTATACACCCCGCCCACTGCTTCTCCTTTTTATTGTCATTGAGATTTTAAAAATCAAATATGATTATCAATGGGGTTTATTTTTTTTACTTTCTAGAAGTCCCGGCAATCGCCTTGATCGTTTGCTTTACGGCCTCCCTGTCGCCCCTCCTTTTAATCGTCATTAGGATTCTATTTGGTGTTTCATTAACAATTTTTTTATGTCGTATCAACCGCCACCACTCTACTCCTTTATATGCCTGTTACTTAATTTATCTCGTCATGTGTTTTACATGGTCTTTTCTTTCAATAGTCTTTATTTTTATCACAAATTTTAGTTATTTATAAATTGTATTCTTAATTGGAATCTTATTTTTCTTTTTTCTAATTTCAGATTTTTTTAAAAAAAATTAATTAATATCGTATTATGTTCTTTTAATATTTTTATTTTTTATTTTCAATTTCAGTTGTTTCAATATTGTTTTCCTACTTGAAATCTCATTTACTTTATCTAATTTTGGATATTATTTTATTTTTTATTCTGAATTTTAATTAATTTCGTATCGGGTTCTTATATGGATTCTTCTTTCAATATTGCTTATTTTTAATTCTGAATTTCAGCTAATTTTAAATTGTATTTCAACTTGAGCTCTTCTTTTGTTTTTTTTTTGCTAATTTCGGATTTTATTTTTATTTTTATTCCCAATTTTATTTAATCTCGTATTAGGTTCTTATACGGACTCTTCTTTTAATATTCCTTATTTTTAATTCTGAATTTTAACTATTTTAAAATTGTATTCCTACTTGGACTATCATTTTCTTTTCTAATTTTGGATTTTATTTTATTTTTATTTCGAATTTTGATTAATCTCATATTGGGTTCTTATATGAAAACTTTTTTCAATATTCCTTATTTTTAATTCCGAATTTCAGCTATTTTTAAATTTTATTTCTACTTGGACTCTCTCTTTTTTTTTCTAATTTTAGATTTTATTTTATTTTTATTTCGAATTTTAATTAATCTCGTATTGGGTTCTTATATGGAAACTTCCTTCAATATTGCTTATTTTTAATTCCGAATTTCAGCTATTTTTAGATTGTATTTCTACTTGGACTCTTCTTTTCTTTTCTTTTTCTTTTTCTCCGATTAATGTGAAAATTTTTAGCCCCCACAGCAAACGTGGTACCTCCTTTCAAAGCTGTTTTAATAATATAATATATTTGAGTTCCTGAATTTGTATTTAAAACCAAAGGTTTGAATTTACGATTTTTGGGAAATGACCCTTTCGAGGAAAGAAAAACATTTTTAATATCTTTTTAAGAAGATAACTACTTCCTCCGTTTCACAATGTAAGTCATTCTAGTATTTCCCATATTCATATTGATGTTAATGAATCTAGACATATATATATCTATCTAGATTCATTAACATCAATATGAATGTGGGAAATGTTATAATGACTTACTTTGTGAAACGGAGGGAGTATTTGTTTACAGAATATAAGATAAATGTTGAAAAGTGTACTCAGTTACTTTAGTTCAAGTTTTCAATTAGATTTAACTTTTCTTCACTTGTGATAAAATTGGGGTTTATAATCAATAGAATTTAGGTTAAAAAAATTTATACTTTTTTGGATTTTATATTATTTACTTATTATTGCAAACAAAGCACTCAAAGATACGGCATAATACAAAAGATAATTTCAAAATTTCAAAAATTTACTAATAATCATTATCAAGTATTTTATTTTGTTATTTTGAGTTTATTCTATTATTTAGACAAAGAGGAGGGCTTTGAGCCTTTGACACAATAGGGCTAAGGCTGAGGTCTTTTCAGTAACTTAAATGGCAACTTCCTTATTTTTCATTACCATATTTCCCAAACTGCCAAACAACACATTATGTACATTTTTTTCCTATATAAAAGTTTCTCGAAAAAATTAAATAAATTTATTTTCTAGTTTATAATTAATCACTTGCTAATGACACGTCTCATTTTGCGTGCTGGATATAAACTCAACCAAAACGCTGAGTCGAACGGCACTGTCATTTATTTTTTTTTAGTTTTAATTATCATTAAATTTGATCGTGCTTAAATTTGGAGGTAATAGTTAGCAAGTTGTAAATTTGCGTATAATTTAGCAAATAACCAACATATATATATTCATTAAAGGCGTGGTATAGTAGTTCTAACTAAAGATATGTTATCAACAAATATCATTTGCATCGCAAGAGTTGTTGAAAGTTGACCAGCATATTGAGGCCCTCTTTGTTTAAGCTTAGGCTTATTGACTTAGACTTTTAAGTCAGCTTATTGACTTATATGATTTATAAGCCAATGGATTTAATGTTCTAAGTTTAGTGGTGGAGTCATACATCTACCTCATATAAGCCAAAAAAAACTTCTTTAACCTAGCTTTTGGCTTAATAGTGTTAAAGTGACTTATGGCTTCAAAAAAGTCAAACGAAAAAATTGCTTGTTTGTTTAGACTTAGACATTTCGGCTTATAAGTTGGCTTATAAGCATAAACAAAGAGGGCCTCAGCACTCCGGTTATTATATCACATTTCCAGGTTTTAAAGATTGGGTGAAATTGACCTGATCGCAGCGCGAGCAGCTAGCGCAAATTGTTGGACTCATGACCCATCCATGCATGATTATTCAGTCAGTCAGTCAGTAGGTTCCCAGAATTTTCTCCCTGCAAACAGGGACAAAAAGCCTCTCCAAATCGATTTGCTGTTCAGAAATTCAGAGATCGAATTCAGACAGTCGAATCGACAAGCAAACAAGCTAGCTGCGCCACGGCGAAGTGATGCAAACACCATGCTTCGTGAGCCTTTCCACTGTTTCACTCTGCTCCTGCTCCTCCTCGCGGCTGCCGACCGCTGCGCCGCGGCCACCGGCGGCAGCGGCGGCCTGCAGTTCGCGTACGATGGCTTCTCGGGCGCCAACCTCACCCTCGACGGCGCGGCCACGGTCACGGCGAGCGGCCTCCTCATGCTGACCAACGGGTCCATCCAGATGAAAGGCCACGCGTTCCACCCGTCGCCGCTCCCGCTCCGCGCGGCGAGGTCCTTCTCGACGACGTTCGTGTTCGCCATCTTCGGGCAGTACGCCGACTTCAGCAGCCACGGCCTGGCCTTCTTCGTCTCCGCGTCCGCGGACGCGTTCGCCGCCGCGCTGCCTGGCCAGTTCCTGGGCCTCTTCAACGGCACCGGCGCCACCACCGGCAACCGGAGCGCCGCCGGCGTCTTCGCCGTGGAGTTCGACACGCTCTTCAACGCCGAGTTCCACGACCTGAACAGCAACCACGTCGGCGTCGACGTCAACAGCCTGACGTCGGTCAAGGCCGCCGACGCCGGCTACTACGATGACGTCACCGGCCAGTTCCGGAACCTGACCATGATCAGCCGGAAGCCCATGCAGGCGTGGGTGGACTACGACGGCGGGAGCACGGAGGTCACCGTGGCCATGGCTCCCCTGGGCACGGCCAGGCCCAAGAAGCCGCTGCTGCGGACCAACGTCGACCTCTCCGACGTCGCGACGGGCGCGGCGCACGTCGGGTTCGCGTCGGCGACGGGCATCCTCTTCTCGCGCCACTTCGTGCTAGGCTGGAGCTTCGCGGTGGACGGGCCAGCCCCGCCGCTGAACATCTCGTCGCTACCGCCGTTGCCGCGGGCTTGGCCCAAGCCGCGGTCGAAGGTGCTGGAGATCGTGCTGCCCATAGCGTCGGCGGCGCTGGTCGCCGCCGTGGCCATGGCGGTGTACGCCATGGCGAGGCGGCGGCTCAGGTACGCCGAGCTGCGGGAGGAGTGGGAGACCGCGTTTGGGCCGCACCGATTCTCCTACAAGGACTTGTTCCATGCGACCAAGGGATTCAGCGACAAGAACCTCCTTGGCACGGGAGGGTTCGGGAGCGTGTACCGAGGCGTGCTCCGCAAGCCCGACATGGAGGTCGCAGTGAAGAGGGTGTCACACGAATCAAGACAAGGGATGAAGGAGTTCGTCGCAGAGGTCGCGAGCATCGGTCGCTTGCGACACCGCAACCTCGTGCAACTACTCGGCTATTGCCGTCGTAAAGGTGAACTTCTCTTGGTGTACGATTACATGCCAAAAGGTAGCCTCGACAAATACCTTTACGATGGAAGCAAGCACCCACTAAGTTGGCCTCAGAGATTCCACATCATCAGAGGAGTGGCGTCTGGGCTACTGTACCTTCACGAGGATTGGGAACACGTTGTCATCCACCGAGACGTCAAGGCAAGCAACGTGCTCCTCGACGATGAGATGAACGGTCGACTAGGCGACTTTGGCCTCGCAAGGTTGTATGATCACGGAGCTGTTGCACAGACAACACATGTGGTCGGCACTATGGGGTACCTAGCCCCTGAGTTGGGGCACACCGGCAAGGCAACCCCATCAACCGACGTGTTCGCGTTCGGCGCATTCCTCCTCGAGGTCACCTGCGGAAGAAGGCCAATCGTGCAGGATGAGCACGGCAACCGTGCCGTGCTTGTGGACTGGGTGACTGAGCAGTGGAGCAAGGGTGCACTTGTTAACGTGGTGGACGCGAGGATTCCGAGCTGTTTTGATCCTGACGAGGTTTCTCTGGTTCTAAAACTTGGGCTGCTCTGCTCGCATCCATTGCCCAATGCTAGGCCAACAATGCGGCAGGTCGCTCAGTACCTCGACGGTGATATGGCCCTACCGGATTTGTCACCGACGTACCTAAGCTTCACTTCACTAGAGCGGATGTACAAGGAGTTCAACCGCAATTCCATTTCATACATCTCATCAGCAAGCATGGGTGCCATTTCTGATATCTCGGGAGGAAGGTGACAAAGGAAGGGAGCTCGTGATTTTGAGAAGCAGTTGGTGAGGATATGAAAAATCGGGTTTCTCAGTTTATTACTTCTAGTTTATTTTCTGAATTATAATGGACTGTTTAGGGGGCTAAAAATTCAAAAAAAAAAGGCACACATCAGATACTCCCAAAGTAGGGCCAAAAATGGTGCTTGTAGCATTGCAGTTAAGAGTATGTTAACGGTGTAACTAGATGCTTTAACTATCTTGTTCTCCTTGTACTATGAAATCGAGATTCTTCTGTCTTGATTATGTTCATAGTTTGATACAGCATCGGGATGCACTAAACAGTTAAGTAGCAATCTTGAAAAGTATCAAAAGGTTTTTTTCTAAAAAAAAAGTAATACCTAGTTTTATAATAGAAAGTACATAACCAAGAGTATAAAACTACTCTTGATAGAAAGAAAAACTAGCGCTGCTATTTTTCTTTGGCGAACACGCAAAAAGACTTGCGCATCAATAACACAATATGTTATTGGAAGGAAGCAGATTGTTTACCCACCGCTACTGACTGGTAGCCATCGCCGAAGGAGGAGGAGGTAACGGCTGTCGGGCTATTACAACTAACTAGTACTGCCAATACAAATATTCATGCGGACTCTTGCACTCTACAGTAGGACTTGTCATGATTAATCACAAGTTTTACGTGCATCTACAAAAATTTCCTGTCAAGAGAAAGCAAGGTGCTAGTTTTCATGGATGTAGTCTTTAGGATCTAGCTAATCCGATTGGTGGTGTTGTGCAGCAGCTGCTTCTGTTTCTTTCATGAACTTAAATGAACGCATGTGATCCATCTTCAGTTCAGGCCATTGAACGCCCTTCAGTACCTATCATACAAAGACTAAACGTATAAATTGACAAGTATTAATTGAAGCGGCGCCGGCCAAATGAATTTATCAAACTATGGACCGCCATATGACGATAGCTAGAATCTCCTCCACAGTGCTTGTCAAAATCATTCGCAAATTGAGACGTTTGAAACCAAGACTGATCCTTGTGAAGTAGAAACATCTCACTGTCAGGAGTCAAAACCTCATCTTCTACTACTTCGTTGAAACTAGAATAGTAGCGTAGAACAAAGGCACCAGCATCCAAACGGCAGCTAGCAGAGCAGTCCACAAGTCCATTGATTCTTCAGAAAAGTTTTCTTAGAGAGAGAGAGAGAGAGAGTCCTTTGAAACAGGTAAAAACAATCTCTGAATAATAATCTCTGGTCTCTTTGACCACTATATTGCTCAAGTGCTACTACTTCTCGATCGATGTGTTCGACAGAATGCAATTTTTTTGTCCAGCAACCTAGAAGAGTCACCGTCGAAAGTACGAAAATTAAATCGATCTATGCGAAAATCAGGACGGCGAGAGAGTAGTCGTCTTACCCTGCAGGGCACGGCGCCTACCAAGGCACACGCCTCTGAAACTTGCAGCCGCCGACGTTGATGTTTGCCGATCCAGTAATCACTATTGGACAGGATGATCAACGCATGCGGAGTGCAGCCATCGCTAGCAAGATACTCCCTCTGCCCCCTAAAAAAAAGACAAACCCTTAATTTCTGTGTCCAACATTTAACTGAATAAGATGGACGGTCAAACGTTGGACACGAAAACTCAGGGTTTGTCTTTTTTTAGGACGGAGGGAGTATCTCCGTGAAGACAGTGTTGTTGCTGACTACTTGACATTGATAACAAATTCAATAATCCATCCACCAAAGTGTACTGGGTTAATGGTCGCCGGCCGGCTGATGGTTGTCTGTTCGTGCCAAAACATGTCCTTGTCGATCTGAATCTTTCAGCTCTCATCGCTCGACACCCAACCACTCGATCATAAGCCAAGCAGTTTATGTTAGCCAATTGCTACAATATCCTTAAGAGGCGTCAAGGCGAAGTGTCACGGGAAAAAAAATGGGTCGTATGATTGCCAAATTTTCTGCACACTTCGTTCTTCTCCTCGTGTTCAGCTTGAGCAACGACGTGGTGGTGGCCTCGGCCGCCGGCGGCGATGGCCAGTTCACGTACCAGGGGTTCGCGGCGGCGAACCTTACCGTGGACGGCCTCGCCACCGTCACGGCGAGCGGGCTCCTCGTGCTCACCAACTTCACGTACCAGGCGAAAGCGCACGCGTTTCACCCGGCGCCTCTCCGCTTCCTCGGCGAGTCCTCCACGGCGGCGGCGGGGGCGAACGCCAGCGGTGGCGCCGGAGCCGACGTGGCGCGGTCCTTCTCCACGGCTTTCGTGTTCGCCATCGTGTCCGGGTACGACGGCCTGAGCGACCACGGGCTCGCGTTCGTGGTCGCGCCGACGGCGAACCTCTCGGCGGCGAACGCCGGGCAGTACCTGGGCTTCCTCAACGCGACGAACGGCACGGCGAGCGGCCAAATCCTGGCCGTCGAGCTGGACACCATCATGAACCCCGAGTTCCACGACATCAGCAGCAACCACGTCGGCATCGACGCCAACAGCCTCATGTCGACGCAGGCACGGCCGGCCGGCTACTACGGCGACGGCGACGGCGCCTTCCGTGAGCTCAGGCTGAACAGCCGCCAGCCGATGCAGGTGTGGGTGGACTACGACGGCCAGGCCAAGCAGCTCAACGTGACGCTGTCTCCCGTGCAAGTGCCTAAGCCCAAGAAGCCTCTGCTCTCCCAGGCCATCGACCTCTCCACGGTCATGGCCGAGGAGATGTACGTCGGCTTCTCGTCGGCGACGGGCGTCGTGAACACCCACCACTACGTGCTCGGCTGGAGCTTCGGCTTCGACGGGCCAGCTCCTCCCCTCGATCTCTCCAAGCTTCCCCGGCTGCCACGCTTCGGTCCGAAGCCTCGGTCCAAGGTCCTGGACATTGTGCTTCCGCTGGCCACCGCATTTCTCGTCGCTGCGGTGCTAGCTGCCGTCTTCTTCGTCGTGCGGCGGCGGCGCCGCTTCGCCGAGGTGCGGGAAGATTGGGAGGATGAGTTTGGTCCGCACCGGTTCGCATACAAGGATTTGTTCCGCGCGACGGATGGGTTCAAGGATAGAAATTTGCTGGGTGTTGGAGGGTTTGGGAGAGTTTACAGAGGGGTGCTACCGGAGTCCAATTTGGAGATTGCGGTGAAGAGGGTTTCACATGATTCAAGGCAAGGTATAAGGGAGTTCGTCGCGGAAGTGGTGAGCATTGGCCGACTTCGACATCGGAATCTCGTGCAGTTACTAGGCTATTGCCGCCGCAAGAATGAACTCCTGTTGGTGTACGATTACATGGCGAATGGTAGTCTTGACAAGTACTTGCATGAGAGAAATGTTACAACTCTATTTTGGCCCGAGCGGCTCTGGATCATCAAAGGCGTCGCATCAGGTTTGTTGTACCTACACGAGGATTGGGAGCAAGTAGTCATCCATCGAGACATAAAAGCGAGCAACGTGCTCTTAGACAGTGCAATGAACGGGCGGCTAGGTGATTTTGGCCTGGCAAGGCTGTACGACCATGGCACCGACCCCAAAACAACACATGTGGTTGGCACCATGGGCTACCTAGCACCAGAGCTCGTCCGTACAGGGAAGGCGTCACCCTTAACCGACGTGTTCGCATTCGGGGTGTTCTTATTGGAGGTGACATGCGGGCGGAGGCCGATCGAGACCGACGAGCACAACAAACGGGTGGTGCTAGTCGACTTGGTGCTTGAGCACCACCGCAATGGCTCGATCGTTGGTGCGGCGGATCCACGGCTCACGGGGAAGTTCGATGTGGAGGAGGTGGCCCTCGTTCTGAAGCTGGGTTTGTTGTGTTCGCACCCGCTACCCGGTGCGAGGCCCAGCATGCGGAATGTCATGCAATACCTGGAGCGTGGCGGTAAGTCGGCTCCTGACCTATCGCCGAGCTACGTGAGCTATAGCATGATGGCGATAATGCAAAACGAAGGGTTCGATTCATTCATCATGTCGGGCGGCCCCCGGTCGGCGACAAGCATTGGCACCGTGTCTGGTGCATCATCTATGACTATTATGTCGGAGGGAAGATAAAATTCAGTGCTTGCAATAAGTCTTTTGATTCCTACTGACTCAAGTTCTTAAGTGACTTTCTTTCTTGTTCCTTGAAATGACAAGCATTTGAAAGAGGAGATAGTAGTGTGTTAAGTTACCTACCAAATTCACAGTAGGCATTTATGTTTACACTACCTATTAGCTATGCTTCCTCGAGCATCTTAAGATAGTTGGGTAGAATGGTGAGTTGCTTGGCTGCTTCAAAATTTCTCTGTGAACTAACTCTGCAGCCTGCTTGCTTTGTTCAAGAATATGGCAACTTGTTCTGGGTTTATCAACACCAGTTGCTTGGAACCAGGTTATTCATTTATGCAATAACCAAACATTCTCTAACCATCAAGATGTTATGAAATGGAAATTTGATAACAAGAATTTAAATGTTCGATAAAGCTAGAATATGTGTACATTTCTAAGGTTGTGTTTGATACTTGGGGTTGGGAACCCAACTCCACCACACGAAAAATAGAGCGGTCCATTAGCGCGTGATTAATTAAATATTAGCTATTTATTTTTTCCAAAAAGGATTAATTTGATTTTTTTAAAAGCAACTTTCGTATATAAATTTTTTTAAAAAAAACACACCATTTAGCAGTTTGAAAAGCGTGCGTGCGGAAAACGAGGCAGAGGGGTTAGAAACCCCCTCATCCGAACGCAGCCTAAGCATATAATGGATAGATATTTCTCAGGTATACAAGGAGAACCAGAGATTCTGGCCTACTAGGTACTACAAAACAGATATTGTAGTTACAGCTTACAAGCTAGAGACTGAGGGTGTGTTGTGATGGATGATAATGGATACAAAATGTATATTCATAGCTCTATGATATATACTACCAACTTAAAAGTGTGATGAATTTTTTCTTCATCTCCGTAGTGGTTCCGGTTTAGGGAAAATTGGTTATATAGCATCGAAAGTTTACATTTTTGGTTTTATAGCACCAAAAGATACCGGTTCACTTTAATAGCACCCAAAATTCATTCCGTTCCCATTTTTAACACTTCCGTCAATTCTCGACCGTTTTTCGTTCGCCTTGATCGCTATTGACCTAGCCACACACGTGATATAACGTATCTACCCCTCACAAGTACAAGTAGAATGCATGTCAATGAGGGTAGAAACATCATATCGTGTGCGTGACTGGGTCAATAGCGATCAAGGCGGACAGAAAACGATCGAGAATTGACGGAAGTGTTAAAAATGGGAACTGGGTGAACTTTGAGTGCTATTAAAGTGAACCAGTATCTTTGATTCTTCAAGAATGTCCTTACGGATATAATGTTCATTGTTTAGCCCACCAAAACCAACCTGACGGCCTGTTGCGGCATCAAGAGAAGTGTATTAGATCTAGTCTTTCAATATTTAACCTTCTTTATCAATGTGGTTATTTCCTCTTCCAAGCGTAACGACGCGCTACAAGAAGAACACGTTGCAGAAAATTGCATACCTTCTTTAAATTGAAGAGCTTGGTGCTATAAAACAAAAAACGTGAACTTTTGATGCTATATAACCAATTTTGCCTTTAGCTTATGCTCGATTGAGATCGGTCGTGTCCTCGATCCCCAGTTAGAACTACATTTACTTATTATTAATATTTGATATATTTCTAAATATTGTGTGAAATAACTCATATTAAAGTTATATATATAATTGAGTATAATATGACTTATTTATATTAGGCATGATTATTTTAAAAATTTTAGGGCCCCATCGAACTAGTCCACTGCCTGTGTACATTTCTGAGCGTACAAATTATCGAACAAATAATATAACCCCGGCAGCTGGTGGGCTCTCCACTACCTGTTCTACCGCAGCACCGGCCGGCAATCTGGCATCCTCTCAAGCGAATGATTATACGAACACGTCAAACAAACTCAAAAATCTCCTGGATTCATTTATAAGATACTACACCATAAAGCTCCATCAAGCAAAGCTAAACGGCATCATAAATTACAAGGCCAGCATCGTATGAAACGCAATCCAAATCCCAAGATTTAAGAAACAGATTGTTGGACAGAAAGAGGTTGAGGATACAGACGAATGCTAGAGACAGTTATCCATGAAAGAGCGCCATTTGGATCTTTGTAGTAAGCAGCAGGCCGTCCAATATACGATACCCAGTACCTTTCACTACATGGCAATACACGAAACAATGTAAAAATACACTTGTATTTATACAAAACCATATTTATCATCAGTCTAGTACATGTCCACCAATCAGGGGGTGCAGCTCCGATTAGCGGCTCAAGCTAAGGCAGCCATGGCAACCAAGAACGGTGGTTTTGTTGCGTTGCTGCTGCTGCTGTCGTTCTTGCTGAGCTCGCCGCTGCCGGCGCGATGCGACGCGCCGCTCCCCGTCAATGTCTGGCCCAAGCCGACGTCCATGTCGTGGGCGGAGCCCCACATGGCCGTGCGTGTCTCGAGCTCGTTCCACGTCGTCGCCCCGTCCGGGAACGCGCACCTCCTCTCGGCGGCGCGGCGCTACGCCGCGCTGCTCCTCGCCGAGCGGTACCGGCCCCTCGTGACGCCGGCGGTGAACGTCACCGCGGGCGGCGCCGGCGCCGGCGCGGCGGGAAGGGGAGCCGAGCTGGGGTACCTGACGCTCGCCGTGTCCGACCTGCACGCGCCGCTGCAGCACGGCGTGGACGAGTCGTACGCGCTGGAGATCCTCCCCGCCGGCGCGGCGGCCACGGTGACCGCGGCCACGGCGTGGGGCGCCATGCGCGGCCTCGAGACGTTCTCGCAGCTGGCGTGGTGGTGCGGGCGGGAGCGGGCGGTGCTGGTGGCCGCCGGCGTGCGCGTCGAGGACCGGCCGCTGTACCCGCACCGCGGGCTGATGCTGGACACCGGGAGGACGTACTTCCCCGTCGCCGACATCCTCCGGACGATCGACGCCATGGCGGCGAACAAGATGAACGTGTTCCACTGGCACATCACGGACTCCCAGTCGTTCCCCCTCGAGCTCCCCTCCGAGCCGGCGCTCGCCGAGAAGGGCTCCTACGGCGACGGCATGCGCTACACCGTCGACGACGTTAAGCTCATTGTCGACTTCGCCATGAACCGCGGCGTCCGCGTCGTGCCAGAGATAGACACACCCGGTAAGTACTCCATCCCTTTCATATTTCAAGTCGCTTTAATTTTTCTAAAATCAAATGTTTCGAAAGTTTGATCAAACTTGTCCTATAGAAAAATAGCAATACTTGTAACACTAAATTAGTTTCATTATGTATAACTAACATTGAACATATTTTGATAGTTTGTTTGTTTTGTGTTGAAAATATTTCTATAAATTTATTAGGCAACTTAAAGAAGTTTGAAAAAAAAATTGGCTCGGAAGTAGGAATAAACCTTCTAATTAAGTTCTAGGCCCAGTGCTAATACGGCCCAGTTAATCCCAATTTAATTACGAGGCCCAATTACTTTCTCACTAATCGCTTCAGGCCACACGGCGTCGTGGGCCGGAGCTTACCCCGAGCTGGTGTCCTGCGCCGGCGAGTTCTGGCTGCCCGACGCGTCTGACTGGCCCAGCCGACTTGCCGCCGAGCCGGGCGCCGGCCAGCTCAACCCGCTGGAGCCCAAGACGTACCAGGTGATGTCCAACGTCATCAACGACGTCACCTCCCTCTTCCCGGACGGCTTCTACCACGCCGGCGCCGACGAGGTCACGCCGGGGTGCTGGAACGCCGACCCGTCCATCCAGCGCTACCTCGCCCGCGGCGGCACGCTCAGCCGCCTCCTCGAGAAGTTCGTCGGCGCGGCGCACCCGCTGATCGTGTCCCGGAACCGGACGGCGGTGTACTGGGAGGACGTGCTGCTGGACCAGGCGGTGAACGTGACCGCGTCGGCGATCCCGCCGGAGACGACGATCCTGCAGACGTGGAACAACGGCGGCAACAACACGAGGCTGATCGTGCGCGCCGGGTACCGGGCCATCGTCTCGTCGGCGTCGTTCTACTACCTCGACTGCGGCCACGGCGACTTCGCCGGCAACGACTCCGCCTACGACGACCCGAGGAGCGACTACGGCACCAGCGGCGGGTCGTGGTGCGGACCGTACAAGACGTGGCAGCGGGTGTACGACTACGACGTCGCGGGCGGGCTCACCGCCGAGGAGGCCAGGCTGGTGGTCGGCGGGGAGGTGGCGATGTGGACGGAGCAGGTGGACGCGGCGGTGCTCGACGGCAGGGTGTGGCCGAGGGCGTCGGCGATGGCGGAGGCGCTGTGGTCGGGCAACCGCGACGCCACCGGCCGGAAGCGCTACGCCGAGGCGACCGACCGGCTCACCGACTGGCGGCACCGGATGGTGGGGCGAGGGGTCCGCGCGGAGCCCATCCAGCCGCTCTGGTGCAGGAACCGCCCGGGAATGTGTAACTTGGTCCGGTGAACCACCCGGCAACCGACCCGTATACGTGCGCTCAACTATCACAGCAACTGCTACCATATCATAACGATGTGTTGGAGTTGGAGAAACTAAAGTGTGAGTTCTGGATTTTTTTTTTTGGTTGGTTTTATTTATTTGTCATTGTGCGAGAGGGGAGAATACTTCTGCTACTGCTGCTGCTGCTACCAATTTATTTGTTTTTTTATTTTGAGTAATGTGAAGTGGACGGCATGTTATGTTATTGTGTACCTTGAAAGCCGGCTTTTATCTTATCATGGGGCCGGTTCCGAATTTCCAACGCATTGGTTGTACTGTTCGATTTGATTAAAGTAGTATTATAGAGGAGAGTGTTGATGCGAGCTAGTAGCCTGAAGAACTCTTTGTGCTTAGAAGGATCTGTTCTATATCTGTGGCTCTGTGTCAAGTGCTCGCTTTTGCTTGTGGAAAAAACTATCACTTGACTGCTATCTGTTGATTTGTCAGTGATATCTCGTGCGGAAAAATGGAGCTTTCTTGGGGTAACATGAATGAGATGATCAGAATGAGATGCTTTTCATATTGGAGTGTAACTGCAAACGACACACCCAGGACACAATACGGACAATAGGAATGCTAGCCTCTGCGGCAGAACTGGCCATATTTGCCCACTTGCTTCTTGCTCATCGCTGCATTGCCAATCAGACTATCTTATTTGACAGTGACTAGGCTAGGTTCTTTTCAGATGTTCCCCTAGATTTTTTGCACGCGTTATTTGCTCCACACTTCTTAAAAAAAATACAATTTCTCAAAAAACTTTCTTCTATTACATTGATGAAACCACCCATTCTAAGGTATTTGCAAATCTTATTTCTCAAAATATTAATTTATCATGTTAATCAAATAAATAACCCTCGTTAATAATTAAGGGAAAAAGCTATCGCTAACAGTACCTAGAGTTTCGATATCTAGTGACGGATTGTTGTGTTTGGATCCTGCGCTCCACGGCCACCAGAACATCATGTAATTGTAGCCTGCCTCGTCAAAATTATCAGCGTTTAGTCTTGATTCTTGACAACATGATTATCAACAGTTATTTATAAGTTGTGATGTCTGACCACCAACTTCTAGATGGAACAGACAACAGAGAATTCTTAAAGGTTTCATATATTGGCTAGCATGGCCTATTTAGTCCCAAAAAATGATGCCAGTTTTTGGGTTTGGGCGACCTATGTGTTGCTGCCTCCTATTTTGGATTGGTGCATTGGAAAGCTTACATCCATGCGTTCCAAAAGGACAGACAAGTGAGAATAAAACATCCAAATCCTACGATTCAGCCCAAAACTTTAGAAATGAAAAATTTCGGGAAAAAAGGTCAATAGCCCCACTAGTATTAGTAATATTAGAAATGAAATTTCAAGCATTTCAGTCTTTATCTCAAAACAACTTCTTCGAAAAGAAATCCAGGAATTTCACAGCCAAAAGAAAAACAAACGGACCAGAGTTACAGCTCAAGAGTCGAGTCAATAGCCACAAGCTTGCAACAATCGTACTGAGGTGTCTTAGCAGTGATGTACTGATGTTTAACACTTCAACAACAATGATTGAAGTGAGCCAAAGACTAGAACAACTTCAAAACAGCACATAAGAGCAATGTCAATAATATAGTCCGCTGTTGGCTTCAAAAAATAGCCAAGTCATCTACAGTAAGCAGTATAGCTAATGTTTATAATAGAAATACTACAACACGATTTTTTTATTTTTTCGTGGGACCCACCATCTTCTCCTACCTCACACTCTCTTTCTCCCTCCTTCTCCTGGTTCTTTTTCGATTCTACGAAAGACGGCGGCGGAGCGCGACGGGCGTCGGAGACAGCGGCGGCGCGGCGGAGGCGGAAGACGGCGGCGGCCGCTCAACGGGCCTCGGAGACAGCGGCGGCGGCGCCGCGCGGCGGAGGCGGAAGACGGCGGCGGCCGCGCGACGTGCGTCGGAGACAGCGGCGGCGGGGCCGCGCGACGGACGACGAAGACAGCGGTGGCCGGGCGGCTCCTGCTCCAAGACGACGACGGCTCCTAGTGGCCGTCGTATTGGACAAGGACAACATACTCCGACGATGGCTATGGTGAACGAAGTCGTGGCGATGAGGCTTGCTGCCATGGATGCGGAAGGAACGATGGGCGTTTGAGCATGGGCGGGCCCACACTCTCGGGTCGCGCGTAGAGCCCGGCGACTAATTAGTCGCCCGCCCATTCTCTCTCCACTTCCCTCTCTCCTCCAGCTCATCGCAAAATCTGACATGGAGCACTTGTCGCCGATTATTGTACCCGCTCTAATGGTTATAAGGCTGCGTTCGTTCCTCCATCTTCCCAACCTACTCCTCCTCATTTTCCGCGCGTACGCTTCCCAAACTGTTAAACGGTACGCTTTTTGCAGAAAATTTATACACGAAAGTTGCTTTTAAAAAATATTAATCTATTTTTCAAACAAAATAGCTAATACTTCATTAATTATGCGCTAATGAGTTGCTCCGTTTTACGTGCACTGCACACCAGTTCCCAACCACTAGTATCGAACACAGCCTAAGGGCATCCACAATGTACACTGAAAGTAACCTTAGACATTAAATACTGCTACAGTACAACGCATTTAGCATTGTGGAGTCAGACCACAAGTCCGATGCAACCAAAGTACACCTTAAGCTTAAGGTGTAGCAACAAAGCTATAAAATACAATACCTTTACTGTTTTTCTGTGCACACCAATAAAATATACATGTCAGTTACTAAACACAGTAACGAGTACTACTAGCCGTTGCTGCTATTCCATTTGAGTTGCTCATTTGGTCCCCTAGCCGTTGTCTTCCTCCAGCATTCTTCTGCTGCCTACAAAAGGAGGAACAAGTGAGATGAACAACAATTTTTGATCTATTCAGTTTCCCCACATACTAAATGGAGCCTTTCAAAGGAAACTTCTCAAACCTCCTCAACCAAGGTTCCTCAAGCCAAGCAACAAATAGTGAGGCCCAAAACTCCCTTTCTACCCAATTTCCCACAAGTTATCCCCAAAACTTCAGACCTAGTTTTCTCCAAAATTTCCATCCTTTTGGTCCTCCAAGCAACTACCAACCATATCGACACCCTCCAATCTTTCAAGGTGCTCAGCAACAAGAATATTATGGGCAACCTACTCCAGGAAGCTTGGAAGGTTTTCAACTTCAAGAAAATCTGGTGCACTCATTTAACCAAGCATTTGGATTTGCAGCCAATAGATCACAGTTTGGTATGCAATATAGTACTTCAATTGGGGCTACAGCCAACACTTCTTTCATGGATCAGCTTCTCCATGTCATACAAGACATAATGAGAAAGAAGTAGTTGAGGTTGAAGAGGCAAGTGATAGCAGTGAAGAAGGAAGAAGAGGGACACGCATCAATTGGACTGAAGATGACAATATACGACTAATGAGTTCTTGGTTGAACAATTCAGTTGATCCCATCAAAGGCAATGACAAGAAATCAGAACAATATTGGAAGGCTGTAGCTAGAGAGTTCAACAGCAATATGCCTAGTAATGGGAACAAAAGGAACCCCAAGCAATGCAGAACACATTGGGACAATGTCAAGAGAGATGTCACTAAGTTCTGTGGATTTTATTCTAAAGCTAGAACTACTTTCACAAGTGGGTATTCTGATGATATGATAATGGAGAAAGCCTGTGAATGGTACAAAAAGCACAACAACCAAAAACCTTTCACCTTGGAGTATATGTGGAAAGATCTTAAAGATCAACCTAAATGGCGTAGAGTCCTTGAAGAGAGTAGCCATAATAAGAGGAACAAGATTTCTGAATCAGGAGCATATACTTCATCGTCGAACCAAGACACAGAGGAGGAAACAGAGCGCAAAGAGAAGCGCCCTGAGGGGCAGAAGGCAGCAAAACAGAGGCAAAAAGGAAAAGGTGCACCATCACCTTTAGGGGATAAGCCAAGTCAAAATATGGTTCTCTTTCACGAAGCTATTACAACTAAAGCAGCAGCATTGCTAAAGGCAGCAGAAGCAACACTGATTGGAGCAGAAGCAAAAAAAGAGAAGGCGATTGCAAAAAAAGAGAAGGCAAGGGCAGAAAAATACCAAATGTATTTAAAACTGATGGAGAAGGATACATCAACCTTTAGTGAAGCAAAACTGAAGAGACATGAAAATGTGTTGGACCAATTAGCTAGAGAACTTGCTGAGGAATAAATGACTAGCAAGCAATGTTAGCAATTATGCTTATTTTATAATGTCAGTATTCTTGTCATATATTAAAATTATGTACTGTGTTGATGCTTGTACTGTGAACCTATTTGTACTGTACTATGTTATGGTAATTTGTATAAATATTGTGTATTACAGCTATGGAATGAAACTACAATATCCTTAGTACTTGAGAAATCACCTTTTCACATGGATCTAGTTGGTGTTGATGGTTTTCCTTCCATCCATGACCAATCTGTTTTTTTTCTCCACCTGAATACATATGAGCAATAATTAATAGAGAACAAAAGCAAGAGGGATGTTGACAAAACCTAGGAAAATATAGCTGTTGTAAAAGACTGACAAAAGCAAGAGCTAGCTGTTAGGATATTGACAAAACCCAGGAAAATATAGCTGTTGTAAAAATCTGACAAATCTAGTCGTTGTAAAATGTATCATCTACAAATAGGTAATGTAGTTCAGCAGAACAACACCCATTCTCATTTTGTTCAACTTCATCTCAACAGCCTTCCCACTTTCAAAAAAAAAAATGTCCAGCAAGTCACCACATCAATCTAGTGAGTCAGATGATTCTAGCTCTAGTGACTACCTTGAAGAGCTGATTTTGGAAGAAATCAATGATCCTATGGAAGCTGAGATTGAAGATGAGATTGAAGCTCAACTTCAAGCTCAAATGCAAGCACAACAAGCTGGTCATTCTAATCGTCGTGGGGGCTACAAACGAAGGTACATCAATAGAGATCACCAAGACGACCACAACAGATTGTTTGCAAAATACTATTCTGACAATCCTTTATATACCGATGATCAGTTCCGTAGAAGATTTCGCATGAGAAAGCATCTATTTTTGCACATTGTTGAAGCTCTTGGCATTTGGTCTCCATATTTTTGTTTGCGAAGAGATGCATTTGGCAAGGTTGGTCTATCACCGTTGCAAAAATGCACAGCTGCCATACGCATGTTGGCATATGGTACACCAGCTGACCTTATGGATGAGACTTTTGGGGTTGCAGAAAGCACAGCAATGGAATGCATGATAAATTTTGTTCAAGGTGTTAGACATATATTTGGTCAGCAATACCTTCGCAAGCCTAATGAACAAGATATCCAGTGTTTACTTCAACAAGGAGAGGCTCATGGGTTCCCTGGCATGTTGGGTAGTCTTGACTGCATGCATTGGGAGTGGCAAAATTGCCCGGTTGCATGGAAGGGACAATTCACACGTGGTGATTATGGTGTACCCACTATCATGCTTGAAGCAGTTGCATCTGCTGACCTATGGTTTTGGCATGCATTTTTCGGTGCTGCTGGTTCAAACAATGATATCAATGTGTTGGATCAGTCACCATTGTTTACTGCAGTGCTACAAGGAAGAGCTCCTAGTGTTCAATTTACTGTCAATGGGACAGAATATAACATGGGATACTATTTAGCTGATAATATTTATCCAGAGTGGGCTGCATTTGCCAAATCAATTACTAGACCTCAAAGTGACAAGGCTAAATTGTATGCACAACGCCAAGAATCAGCAAGGAAAGATGTGGAACGAGCATTTGGGGTTTTGCAAAAACGTTGGGCCATAATTCGCCACCCAGCATGGCTTTGGGAAAGGGATGAACTAGCTGATATCATGTATGCATGTATTATTTTGCACAACATGATAGTTGAGGATGAGAGAGACGATTATGTCATACCTGATGACAACACATATGAGCAATCACAATCTTCTGTACAACTAGTAGGACTCGACCATGGGCCAATCCATGGATTTGCAGAGGTCCTAGACGCAGACATGAATATTCGCGATCGAACAACCCATCGACGTCTAAAGTCAGATTTGATGGAGCACATTTGGCAGAAATATGGTGGTCAACAACAACAAAACTAGAGTTTATTTGTGTTATGAAACTTGTGTTCTTTTTTCCATTTTTCTTTCAGTCGTCCAATTTATTCTTATTAGTAACTGAGACTCTTTACTTTTTCATGCACTAAGAGTAATGTACCAGTACCATTGCCTTAATTAGTCAAGCACAAGTCATATTGAAAATATCATGTTTTTTTGTCATTTTTTTTTAATTTCAGATCTGTTGGAGCACAACTAAACACTATGAAAATTCCATCGGGATCGAAATCAACGATTCACATGATGCATACGTACAAACAGAAAAAGAATCTGTAGTAGCAGCACTTGCACATATTTGATGACAAATTTAATCGTAGCAGCAGCAGCACTTGCACAAACAGATATAAATTTAATCACCGGGCAAACCAAAAGCAAGAAGAGATTCCACAACACGGAAAAGGAGAGGCCACGGAATCAATCACCTTGTCTCTAACGCAGAACTCACGGACGATGTAGGCGAAGTTGAGGGCGGTGACCGTCTAGTAGGTGCTGATGGTTGAGAGCAGCTTCAAGTTTGTGGCGCAGACGAGACAGAGAAGCACGCGTCGGCAGCGTCGCGGCCGGAGTAGTTCGCGCATGCAGCGTCATCGATGGGTGAGGCCGCGCGCGGCAACGTGGCACCGAAGCCACGGCACAGCGAGGTCACAGCCGAAGGAGGGGAGGCCGGGAGGAGCAGCGACGTTGGCGCAGCCACGGGAGGAGCAATCGTCGGAGAAATTGGGGATCCAGTGCATGCGCTGTGGGAGAATTTGGGGATCGAGCGGAGCGACGAAGAGAGGAATTGGGGATCTGAGGCGGAGGAAATGGGGATCGAACAGAGTAACAGTGGATGAGGATTTTTTTTCACTCGCGCGAACAAGCAGATGGTTAGGAGTGATCTGTATTCTTTTTCTCCCGTGGGGCCCAGCGGGACCCACCTTATTTCCATCAAACAAGCAGTATCATTGTAGAGATTTCCTTAACTATTGCTACCTGTAGATGGGCCCACTCTTGTTATGCATTTTACCATATACATTGGCCTTGCCCTAAGAGGTTTATAAACCCTAGGAAGGAAAATAACTAGGCTGTCATACTTAGGGTTAGTTCGTTTTAGCAACTCGGGTAAGATTTTCCATAGTGCCGAAAACATGGAAGATCATTGATTAATTAGCTATTACAAACTTGAAGAATGAGTTTATTCTATTTTTTTAAAAAAAACTTTTATATACAATTTTTTTATGAAACGTGCCGTTTAACCGTTTGAAAAGAGAACGAGGAAGTTGCTCACCAAAGTTGCTAAACTAAACTAAGCCTTAAATATCTTAACAATGCGAGATGGAATTGCTAGCGCCAGAGTTTACATGTTTCTAATGCTACACAAATAACATGATGAGTTGATGACATACGGTTTATATATTACTTCCTCTGTCCCATAATATAACAATTTAGTACCGGAGAAGACACTTCATAGTACAATAAATTCGGACATGCTTTTTATCCAGATTCATTGTATTATAAAGTGTCTTATCCAATCCGAGATTGCTAATTATAGGACGGAGAGAGTACAATTTATACTTAATCGAAATAAATATACATGTATTTGTTACACTTGTACTACTAGTACTAGGAGTGCAGTTACTACTACTGCAGGCAAGGATAAGATGGGGAGCAGATGAATGATCCCCGCACATAGGACTCCCCTCCACGCTGCTCCCTGTCCGCCACCCTGCAGCTTAATCATGACGTGGGCGAGATGTCGCCCGGCCGCCTGCCTGTACCCATCAATGCCCAATCATACCCCCACCACCAGGTCCACCACCACCACCGGCGTCCTCTCCTTCCATCCCACACATCCATCACGCGGCCGCACGCACACCAGCTCACGCTGCCTCGCCTCATCCAACCTGTAAAACCCCAAAACCCTCTGAGGGCAAGTATTATGGTATATGGGCATCTAATCACAAAACCTAAGATAACACATAAAACTAAATGATGACATGGAAGAGAGAAGAAAGATAAGAGAGAAATAGTTACCTCTTATGTAAGGGGTAACCCCTACACAAACTTCAAGAAATATACGAGAGTGTTAGGGATATTGGAGATTGTGTGGTAGAGGCAACATATTATACATGTTACATCTTAATTTAATTATGTATATTATACATGAAATTAGATGTATAGTCACCTCTATCAGAGCAAAGGTTAATAATACAGGCGACCTGTTGGCTATAAGGTTCTTTGTAGCCTTCTCAGCCTAACCATATAATAGTTAGCTCTTTACAATTAATATATGGCCCATTTTATCTATTCATTAACATTAATATGAATGTGGGAAATGTTAGAATGACTTACATTGTGAAATGGAGGGAGTAGTTTCTTGATTATTGTGTCCAAACCGAAGTTTACAGTCCGTTTCTTCTCTCTCTTCTCTTTTCTCTCCTCTATATTAGCATTTAGCCATGCTTAAGCATCGACGACGCGGGGGGCTTTTAACTATTTGCCACTCTTACAAATGGTGCTTAATGATTTGCCACTAGACCCACATATCATAGACACATGAGGGTCCACATGTCATTAATAGGGTGTGGCAAATCGTTATTTGCCATGTCATAATGGCAAATAGTTAAATTTCCCACGAAGGGAACGCCGCGAAGGGGCAGGAGACGAATCGACGCGGAAATCCACGGGAGAATAACCAAAAGTGGCCGATGCGACAAGGAATCCCGCGAAACCGGCGCGTGCGAGCGAGCGAGCCCAACCGTCCCGGACCCAATCCCCAACCAGGCCAACCGAACCAAACCCATCGCTCGCCCTCGCGCGAGCCGCATCTCATTCTCCCCCTCCAAACCCTACCCAAATACGGGGGATTATTAAACCCAACCGCCCCCGGGTCTCCCTCTCTCTCCGCGCCTGTGTGTTGTTGTGTTTCCACCCCTCTCCCTCCCCCTCCCCCCACACACGACGCCGCCGCCGCCACGCGCGTCACGAAAACCCTAGCCGCCTCCCCCGCCGCCGCCAGAGAAGGGGGCGCGTATCCAATCCGATCCATCCGATGGCGTCCGGGGATGACCAGGCGGCCGCCGCGGCGCTCCTGGGAGGGGACCCGGCGGCGTTCGACGCGCTGCTCTCGACGCTGATGTCCTCGTCGAACGCCGACCGCGCCGCCGCCGAGGCGGCGTTCCACCGCCTCCGGGGGTCCCACCCGGAGCCGCTCGCGCTCCGCCTCGCCTCGTCGCTGTCGTCGCCCGCCACGCCCGCCGACCTCCGCGCCATGGCCGCCGTCCTCCTCCGCAAGCTCCTCTCCCCGACGCCCTCCTCCGACGCGTCCAGCGCCGCCGCGGCGCCGGTGTGGCCCCACCTCTCCCCCGCGGGGCAGGCCGCGCTCAAGCAGCACCTCCTCTCGGCGCTCCAGTCCGACCCGCCCAAGCCCATCGCGAAGAAGGTATGCGACGCCATATCCGAGCTCGCCGCGCTCCTCCTGCCGGAGAACGCGTGGGCCGAGCTGCTCCCCTTCCTGTTCCGCGCGGCGTCGGGACCCGAGGCTCCCAATCTGCAGGAGTCCGCGCTTCTCATCTTCGCGCGCCTGGCGGATTACATCGCTGAATCGCTTCTAGACCATCTGATGACAATCCACAACCTGCTCGCCTCCGCCCTGGCGCACCCGACATCTCCTGATGTGCGCATCGCCGCGTTGAGCGCTGCGGTTAACCTCGTCCAGTGCTTGCCCACCAACGCTGACCGGGATAAGATGCAGGATTTGCTTCCTGCAATGATGAGGGCGCTCACGGATTGCCTAAACTCTGGTCAGGAGGCCTCTGCACAGGAGGCGCTGGAGCTGCTTGTGGAACTGGCTGGTGCAGAGCCAAGGTTCCTGCGGCGGCAGATTGCAGATGTTGTAGGTGCAATGCTGCAGATAGCTGAGGCTGCACAGCTGGAGGATGGGACTAGGCACCTCGCTGTAGAGTTTGTGATTACTCTCGCTGAGGCCAGGGAGCGTGCACCAGGAATGATGCGTCGCCTCCCGCAGTTTGTTGGCAGGTTATTTGCAGTGCTCATGCAGATGTTGCTTGATGTCGAGGATGATCCTGCTTGGCACACTGCAGAGACAGAGGATGAAGATGCGGGTGAAGGAAATAACTATGGAGTAGCACAGGAGTGCCTTGACCGTCTAGCCATTGCTATTGGTGGGAATGCAATTGTGCCAATTGCATCTGAGCTGCTCCCGCAGTACCTTTCCGCTCCTGAGTGGCAGAAGCACCATGCTGCACTAATCACACTTGCACAGATTGCAGAAGGATGTGCGAAGGTTAGCTAAATAAGTTCATGCTTATTGTGACTACTATGCAATAGAATCACTACAAAAACCAGTTGAAAAGCTGAAGGTATTTTATTTTGCTGCACTGGGTAAAATAAAATATACAATAGCTCGTTTAATTAGGTAATTCGAATCGGTGTGATGTGATAATGAATCAATTGCCTTCATTGATTTCTCATGTTCAAGTGATTATAAACACTGAATTTTAGGTGCACAAGAGCTTTTGGCGAGTATTAAGACACAAAAATGCTACCCATTGTTTCATTCATTTGCAAGAAGCAGCCAAAATAGCTATTTACTCAACTGTTTGTTCTTTGCAGGTGATGCTTAAAAATCTGGAGCAGGTTGTTTCGATGATTTTGAATGGATTTCAACATCCTCATGCACGTGTGCGTTGGGCTGCAATCAATGCAATTGGTCAGCTATCTACTGATTTGGGTCCAGACTTGCAAGTTAATTATCACCAGCAGGTGCTGCCTGCATTGGCAAACGCCATGGATGATTTTCAGAATCCACGGGTGCAAGTGAGTGTTCAAATATTAGTGCTAGACTTGATCTAGCACACCCTTTTACACATGTTCTTTGCTTTATTTATAACATCTTTTGTGGCCTACAATGTTCATAAGGACAACGCTTATTGACTCACTTACCTGTTAGACTTTATGAAGAAAATGCTTCAAAGTAGATAGTGGGCTTTACATAAAAGATAATGCTCCATTGATCTACTTAGACATCTAGGAGTGTTCTTCAATTAGTTAAATTATTTTATCTATCCATGTTCTAGTTGGGCTAAGTTTACTTTCGTGGGGTTAGATGAACATCAACACGAACTATCCCTGTCTTTCAGATTTTGTTTCTATCCTTGTTAAATAAGATAATTTGGCATTATATTCAAAAAATATGTAACACGTCAATGGCATGAAGTATGATTTATAAACACATTAATTCAGGTTTTTTAATGAACTTTTGTTCCATATACAATTTTCAAGTGTTACTTTTTGATATACAGTTTTCAAGGTTTTGGCAGTTTTGGGGTGCCTATTATACATACAAACTTAACCTACTTTTATTATGCTTATTAGGAAATAATATGTCTGGCTGTGTTACTATCATTCACAGGCACATGCTGCATCAGCTATCTTGAATTTCAGTGAGAATTGCACGCCTGAAATTCTGACACCTTACCTGGATGGAATTGTTACCAAATTACTTGTTCTTCTTCAGGTATCCACCTCCCTCACCAGTTAAATATATTTTATTGTCTTTTAGTGTTATTTTTTTGAACTAGTAGAACATGTGCTAATATATTGTACTTATGCTTTAGAACGGCAAGCAAATGGTGCAAGAGGGAGCATTGACAGCTTTAGCATCAGTAGCTGATTCATCGCAGGTAATTTGTCCATGTATAAGTTAGCTTAATTTCTTATAGGGGGAGGGGGACGCAACATTACCTTTTATACTTATCTTGATGGTTAATGAGAGTTTATAATATTGTGTTAAATTTTGGTGTACTTGTCTTGCAGGAGCACTTCAAAAAATACTATGATGCAGTGATGCCATACCTGAAAGCTATTTTA